GAATGAACTATGAATGGGAGAGATACAAATATGCAACCCTAGCAATGTGTACCCCATATGGGCTACCCCACTATAGCCTACGCAATATTGTAATTTGACAGCCAAGTGGTATACGGGTTGAGTAGTCCATGTTAAAGCATGCGTGTGTATATACATGTACAGGCAACCATTGATCAAATGTGTGAAGAAAATAAAAAACCGACGGAAATGTCAACGAAGGTGTCGGGCGCGAAACGACGCTTCTTCTTCTCCTCGTTTCCTCCTCCTCTCTCTCTCTCTCTCTCTCTCTCTCTCTCTCTCTCTCTCTCTCTCTCTCTCTCTCTCTCTCTCTCTCTCTCTCTTTTCCTCGCCCCATTGTGCACTCGGTAGGATGTGGTTGTGCCTGCCCTTAATGCATGGGAGATGATGCCTATGGATATGGACACACTTGTCCATTGTGTTTCTCTTATTCTCTCTCGTTCTCTCTCTCTCTCTCTCTCTCTCTCTCTCTCTCTCTCTCTCTCTCTTTCTCTCTCTCTCTCTCTCTCTCCCTCTCTCTCTCCCTCTCTCTCTCTCTCGGCCAGGGGGGGGCGACGCGCGGTCTCCCAGGGCGCCAAAACAGGCGGCAGAAGGGGCGATGCTTGCCTCCCTCCCCGCGGCCCCCTCAGGTCGCCTCGACAGGCGACGGGAAAAGGGGGGGGGGGGGGGGGGGGGGGGGGGGGGGCGGTGTACGTGCCCTCGGTGCGCCACGGCTGGCGACGGGGCATGGCCGGGGCGGCGCCGGGGCCGCAAGTGGCGGCGACGCGGCCGCTGGAGGCGGCGACGGGGCCGCTGGTGGCGACGACGGGGCCGCTGGCGGCGGCGATAGGGCCAATAGGAGCGGCGACGGGGCCGCTAGGGTCGGCGATGGGGCCGTTGGCGGCGGGGACGGGGCCATTGACGGCGGCAACGGGGCCGCTGGCGGCGTCGACAGGGCGGATAGGGGCGGCGACGGGGCCGCGAAGGGGCCGCGAGGGGCCTGGAAGGGCGGCGACGGGCCGCAAAAGGGGCGGCGACGGGGCCGCGAAGGGGCCGCGAGAGGCCTGGAAGGGCGGCAACACGGCCGCGAAGGGGCTGCGAGGGGCCTGGAAGGGCGGCAACGGGGCCGCTAAGAGTAGGGTGAGGGGCACGCCATGGGGCGTGCCGAACACAGAGTAGCAGCGGAAGCAGTTAGGTGGGCCCACAGGCCAAGACCGTCGATGCTCTGATAGCATGTGAAGAAATGAGCGAGAGAATGAAGAACAGAGGGCTTTCACTAGCAGTAATGAGGATACATATAGCAAACCCTAGATGGGTTATACTCGCTATAGAGCACCTCACTACAGGTTAGAGAATAACATTCCGACACGGCTGGCCGCAACGGAAGCACGAGCCCCGAAACCCGCGGCAATTAGCCGTGGGCGGGGGGCCCCGCTTGGGTAAAAACGGCAACAGCGCGTTGTTTCCGTCGCGGTTGACACGAGCATATCTGCTTGCCGCACGGTCCGTTGCCGCCATGACCGCGACCGCCTGCTTAAAGGGTCGAGAAGTCAGCAGGCTCTTCTGCTGGTATAACTTGAAGCACTTCGCCGTGCGGAAGTCGGAGGCGTCCTCCACTTGAAGCACCTCGAAACGCCCCGAGATGAGGTTGAGAGCGTGCGAGATGAGTTCGAGTCCGCCCGCTGGGTCTCTGCGCTGCGCCTTGTATTCCGCGTGCAGCAGGTACGCGCGCAAGTCCTCCAGCAGCTCCGCTTGCTCTCGCACGGAGTCGTTGACGAATGTTGCCGCCGAAAAAGTGAGGTTAGAAGAAGGGAGGGGGGGAAGGTGTTCCATGCCATTAAAATTAACATTGTTGAATGGAGCCTCACCGACTTCATCTTCAGAGTCGTCGGTGTCGTTGTCGACCACTGGAGCGGGGGGTGCTGCTGCTGCTGCGTCGTTGTCGTGCCGAATGGTCCTTGCTCCTCGCGCGCCTTTTTCCTTTTTCGCATTTTCTTTTTTAGCCGGCGCAGATGCAGCGGGTAGTGCAGTTTCCGCGCCTGTAACAATGACGGGCTGCTGCTGTAGAAGGCACAGCAGCGCGTTGACCTGGCCCGGGGTCAACGCCTGCGTCAATGCAGGGGCGGTCGTCGCGTCAGACGAGGAGCCCGCCGTCCGCCTCCTCTGGCGCTGACGCGACGGTCCAGCCGCGGGTGCTGGCGTGTGCTCGGCGTCAGTGGCGTGTGCCACGCCCGCAGCCGTCGCCACTTGCGCCGCAGGTGCCACTAGCGCCACAGGCACCTCAGGCGCCACTGGCGCCACTGGCGCCGAAGGGTGCTGGGCGTAGAACTGGAGACCGACACCGGCCGATTCTCTATTGGTCCCGACCGACGAGCCTCACTACATGCAACCATCCAGAACCTCCTGAGCGCAAGCAGGGCATGCCGACCAGTCCCGGTCCGCCACGTGGCCAGAATCACTGGCATGCTTGCATCGATGGGTGTCGCACTTGGCGCGACCGCTCGCGCATTCAGCCACGCTATGTTGCAAGTGATCAACGAAGCACCGTCTTGGAAAAGCAGCGTGGTTATCCCCCCATCTGCAGCAGAGGAGCTCCAATTTTGGCTCGAGGAGTTTGACCGTTTCAACAGCGCACCTTTTCACGTCAGGAACAGCTACGACGCAGTAATCCATGTGGAGGCCAACTCTCATGGTTGGGGCGCCACGCTGACCACATTTCCGGGCGGCCTCGAAGAAGCCAGCGCAACCATGTCAGAGTCGCTACGAGGAACGTCCAGCACGCGACAGGAGATTGAAGGCGTCCTTTGGGCGCTCCAAACTTACGCAACCAAGATCAAGCAAAAACACGTTCTCGTGCGGGTGGACAACCAGAGCGTGTTCTTCATCCTTCGAAAAGGCGGCTCTCACAGCCCCGACCTCGCAACGGCATGCAAGAGCATCATCCGAACATGCATGGAGCTTGGCACGCGCTTGATCATCGAATGGATTCCGCGCGAGCTCAATACACACGCCGACGAACTTTCAAAAATGGTCGAACACGATGATTACGCGCTGAAAACGCCGTGGTTCCGCATCTTGGAACGTCGTTGGGGGCCCCACTCAATCGACCTCTTCGCAAACTCCCGAAACACCCAACTGCCGCGCTTCTGCACAAAGATTCCCCACCCAGAAGCCATCGCAGTTGATGCGTTCTCGATCTCGTGGACACCCGAAAACAACTTCGCCTTCCCCCCGCCCCAACTGGTCCCGGTCGTCCTCCATCACGCACAACGCACCCATGCATCACTCACACTGATAGTTCCGCACTGGCCAGGCGCAAGCTGGTGGCCACTTTTGCAACCCTCCCCATGCACTCGGGCTCCACACATCCACGCGCACATCCCTCTGACACACGGAAGCCAATGCCTAGACGTAGGATCCCATTCCAATGTTTTTTCATGCATGGGACTACCGCACAGCCCAATTATTGCACTGAGAATGGTATTTGACTAATTCAAAACATCAACGCCCTGTGTTCAGATTTGCTCCCAAAGTTACACGACCAAATGATCAACGTGCTCGCGCAATCTCGCGCCGATTCTACGATCCGGACATACGAACCATATCGGGCCAAGTTTCGAGCCTTCTGCACAAAAGTGAACCTCCCATTTCTTCCGGCATCCGACATGACCCTCGCGCTCTACCTGGTACACGCAATCGGACGCAAAGCCACCCTGTCCATAGTGCAGCGGACGTGCTCGGCGGTCAGCTTCGCTCATCACATGACTGGGAGCAAATGCCCGACAACCGGACCGTTCACCACCCAAGTCCGTGACTGTGCAAAACGACACTGCCCTCGCCCTACTCGTATGAAGGAACCCGTATCGATCTAACAAGTCCGGGACATGGCCGCGAGTTACTTGCAGTCCGACGATCCCGCGACGTTTCAGAAAGGGTTGATCCCCATCCTCATGTACTCAGGATTCCTGCGATATTCTGACCTGGCAGCCATAAAATGGCAAGACATCCAATTCGACGACGCGGTCATGTGGATTCTCATACCACACTCCAAGACCGATCAGGCTGGTCATGGCACTTGGATTCCCATTGCAGCAACGACAGACCCTTGTTGCCCAGTACGCTGCACCCGACGCTTCATCCATTTGGCCGGCTATGGCCCACAGTCAGAGGGACCATTGATTCGGGTCTTCGGCCACGCTTCAACCAGCGAGGGCCAAGCAAGGCCACCCTCATACACCACGATCCGGAACTGGTGCAAGGAAGCCTTCGCAAAGGTGGGCCTTGGAGACCTGCAGCTCGGCACACATTCTTTCCGAAAAGGTGCAGCCACAGTAGCAGCCAGCACGGGCGTGCCAGACAGGGTCTTCAAACGGCTGGGCAGATGGCGAAGCGACTCAGCAAAGGAAATGTATGTTACACCATACGTCGAGCCTCTTATCGAAGCCTCCCGTAACCTAGAAGACATGACGCATGCAGCGTCATCGGCACAACACTCAGAGGCACTCGTACGCAACCGGAGGCCCCCGCTGCCCATGTCTCAGAGACCCCATTTGTAATGAGAACGATGCCAATTGATAAGAATAAGAAAGCAAGCTTTCTCAATATTATAATTTTTAAACACACATTGTGTTTTTTAAAATTGTGTATGGTGAAAGCGAAGCTGCTTGTACTGCACAATTGGCATCGTAGAAGCGCGCTAAACGCCCTTCTCCAACTACAAAAACCGTGGGTTGGAGTTCATTTCCCTCCACCCACGCTTCTCGATTTTCCAACGGCTCACTCAACATTCCCACCACCCACCCCAGAGTAAACCGCCTTGCTAATGCCACTTGGATAGGGTACATCTTAGCTAGTGTTATTCGATTGCACTAGCTTGTGGTTAACGTTGATGCAAATGTTGCTTGGTTCTTTGACCTAGCGATCGTCTTTTCCCATGACCATGGCATGTAAACCGCCTTTAACTTTTAAGATCCGACCACTGCTATAGTTTCTGTCACGTAGACATGAGCGGCGAGCCAGTCACAGTCTTCGTCTCTGATGACCTGGCGCCAGCCGACGTTGAGCACTGGCTGTCGTTTGACGAAGCCGTTCTGCCTCATCCTCCGCCTCCCATCGACGACCATCACTTGCAGACACAGCTTCTCCCGGAGTTACCGTTCAATCCTTTAGATCCTTCACTCGCTTTCCTGATAGGCGACCATGCTCCTGTAGTTGATGCGTATATAGGAGACGCTAACACAGACAATGTTCCTACACTCGTTGCTCCCGCTAACCACGTCGAAGTTAGTCCAGAGTTGCGATTGAATGATTCACTTGGAGAGCTGACAGAGAGGGGGACTCCACCTGATTCGGACGGCGAAGATTTCGTACGACGAGCAGACACACGCGAGGCGTGCACTGATGGATCCGGTGAAGCAGATGCGATTATAACAAGTTTCGCGGATTTAATAGATGCGTGGGAATCCAGCGGCGTGAGCCATAGCCATGACACTGCCTCGCGCGAGGACGGCCGGGTAGAAAGTGTTGAACTGTTACGTCCGGGAACGAGGCATGTCCCGGACGCAGGAAACGTTCTTGCAGCCAGCAATTTAGACACGTGCGTGCCAGAGCAGGCTGGTCCGTCCACGTGGTTTCCTGAACAGGATTTGTCTTTCACGTCAGCGTCCGTTCTGCGCGCATTGCAGCCTGATGGTTCCGGTCCGCAGGTGCTGACCTTCGAGGAAGCCTCGGAGAGGCTGTTCGCGGCGACAGCGCCAGCGACTTTCCAGAGCGCGAGGGGCCGGTTGGAGAAAGCACTGACGTCGCAGCGGCTGTTGCCAGAGCAGGAGGAAGCGCAGAATCAACTGCTGACGCCGCAGCAGCAGGCGCAGCAGCAGACGCAGCAGCAGTCTCAGCAGCAAGGGCGAGATTATGATCCAGGAGAGCAGCAGCAGCAGCAGCAGCAGCAGCAGCAGCAACAGCAACAGGGAGCCCCCCAGTTCAAGGTAACTGACAGCACACGGCCTCTCCTCTCCGCCATCCATGCCGGTCCCGCTCCCCCCCAACGCTCCTCCCCCGCCCAGCGCCCCTCGCCCTCCTTCGGCGGTGACATAGGAGTGGGCGGGATCAGGGGACCTCCCGCCGACCCTCCCTCCGCTCTGCCCCCGTGCAAGCTGCCTCGGCGCCCCCCGGACCTCTCCTCCCGCCTCGCCGCCGTGCTGCAAAACATCAACCCGCCACGCCCTGCGCCCTCCCCCTGGCGAAACCCCCCCAGCTTGCCCAAGCCGGGCCTCCCTTCTGCAGCCACACCTGCAGCTCCCGCTGCCACTGCGTCTATCTCTGTTGCTCAGTCGTTCCCCATGCCAGGTTCCTCCACTGCAGCAGCAGCAGCAGCAGCAGCAGCGATTCCACCAGCAGCAGCAGCAGCAGCAGCAGCGATTCCACCAGCAGCAGCAGCAGCAGCAGTAGCAGCACCAGCAGTTGCATCATCAGCGGTAGCAGCAGCAGCTGTAGCGGTAGCAGTGGCTTCTGCAGTGTCTTGTATACAGCCGCCTGCTTATGGATATGACCAGGGAGCGCAATGGACGACATCCAGTTCGGACAACAATGCAATTAGCAGGATTCGCCTCAGTACGGCACACAGCAACCCACAGAGCACCGCTGCAGAAAGTGCAGAGCCCAGCGTAGCAAGCAGGGCGTTCCTCCCCGTTCCTCACGTTGCTGCATTCGGCCCCGAGAGGCCCCTGCGAGTGGATGCGTCGGGCACGCTGCCACGGCCCATGTGTGGCGCGAAAGAGGGCATGCTGAAGCAGCAGCTCATGGCTCTCGCCGAAGCCATGGCCGTTGATGACTCGGTGCGTGAGGCTCGTGGGGGGGTGGGTACATAGGGGGGTGTAGGGATGGGCGGATGGGGGGTGGAGGGATGCGGGGATGGGGGGGTGGAGGGATGCGGGGATGGGGGGGTGGAGGGATGCGGGGATGGGGGGGTGGAGGGATGCGGGGATGGGGGGGTGGAGGGATACGGGGATGGGGGGGTGGAGGGATGCGGGGATGGGGATGGGTGAAGAAGTCGTCATTGCTGAAGCCATGGCTGTTGATGACTTGGTGCATGAGGTTAGTGTCAAGTGGGGGTTGGGATGAGTAGTCAACAACCAGGCATGGCTTGTGTTCGTTTGCTCCTGCTGATGCATTGTTGAGCAAGAGATGGGGCGCACTACTTGACGTCTTGTTATCTGCCTTGCTTCTCCCCGTCCCCCACCTCACTTCTTCCCGTCTCCTACTCATTTCATCCTGTACCCCGCCTCACTTCCTTCCCATCCTAACCCTCTATAGGTGCACCCATGTGTAATCTACAGCAGAAGGGGACACCTCATTCACACACCTTTCCCCTTCCCTTGCATTCCCCTGTTCCTTCCTTCTCGCCCTCCCGGCCTTCCACCTGCCTCCCCTGTCCCGACACTTCCCCACCAGGTGCGGTGGCGGCAGTTCATGCGGCAGGTGCGGAGGGAGGCGGCACCGGGGGGGGACACGCTGCAGCGCATCGCCTTCCATGCCTTGGAGGCGCTGCAGGCGCGCATGGATGGCACCGCGCTCACAAGATGGCAAACCCCCTTGAACATCACTCTTCAGGTACTTGCCTTCTCCGCTCCCCACCTTCCCCACTCCCCACCTTCCCCACTCCCGACCTTCCCCACTCCTCATCTTCCCCTCTCCCTCCCTCTCCCCCCTCCGGGCAATGTTGTTACACATCTCTATGCCTATATGTATCTAGATGTGGGTTGATGGATGCTCGCACACACTACATGCTCTGTGTTTTTTGCTTTGGACACGTACCCTTTCCCGTCAGCTGCTTTATGTGCTAAGCCTTCATGTGCATGCCACGTGGCCTATGCATGCCACTTGTTCCATGCATGCCACGTGTCCCATGCACGCGACGTGTCTCATGTGAGCAGGACTCAATGGCAGTGTTGGGCCATGGCAACGAGCATGGAGTGCCGGCATTCATGCACCTCGCCAACATTGCAGCCGTGCATGAAGTTGTTCGCGCCTTCACCCACCAACCACAACAACACACACACGCACATGCACAGAGTCGCGGCCACCCACACGCCCCCCACCCTGCTTCTCTCCCCCAGCCTGCCCCTGTCCCTCCTGTTGCCTCACACTCTGCCGGCCAGTCCGTGCGGCGGCGGCGGCTGCACATCATAGCCGTTGGATTCTACGGCGGGCCACACTGGATCAACATCCTCATGCGCCTCGCCGCCCACTTCTCCACCCTGCCCCTCCTCCCCGCCACCGCCAATGCCGCCCCTGCCGCCGCCACCCCTGCTGCCGTCTCCCCTGTGGCAGGCAGCAATAGCTCTACCAGCAGCGGCAGCACGAGCGGCAGCAGTGGGAGCACTCACCCCGCACCCCACACTCCAAATCCTCCCACACCTCCTTCACAAACGACCCACACCTCATCCCCGACCAATGCTGCTCCTCCACCCCGCCCCACGGTCCACGTGAGAATCACAGCCGTTGATTTCGGAATCATAAGAGTGGAGGAGTATCCAACGGGCCTGGTGCATCTGGGTGGGCAGTACCTGGAGCAGGTGGCATCTATGCTCGGCCTCTCTCTCACATTTCACGGCATAGAAACAACCCCTCACGACTTCCACCCGTCGCAAGTGGAGGTGGATGAAGGGGAGGAGGTGGTGGTGCTGGCCAATTGGGGCCTCATGGTCTTTCCAGACGACACGGTCCTTCGCTCCAATCCCCGCAACTCCATCCTCAAGTGGATCCGCGACCTGCGCCCTCTGCTCCTCCTCCAGGTCGACATTGATTTGGACGCCAACGGCCCCTTCTTCCTCTCGCGCTTCCACGCTGCCTTCGCCAACTTTGCGGCGTTCGTCGAGTCGTTTGATGCCACCATGCCGCACTCCGCCACGCCACGCTTTGTCGCGGAATCCATCCTGGCGCGGGACTTTATGAATGGGATTGCATGCGAGGGCATGAACCGATGGCTGCGAGCAGAGCGGCTCGAGAAATGGGTGCATCGAATGGGAACAATGGGGCTGGAGCCGGTGCCTATAGGGCCGGACACGGTGGTGGCTGGGAGGGAGATCACAGAGGGGAAGGATGGGCGGTTCCGGCTGGAAGTGCATGGTGAGAGTGGCGCCCTGCAGCTCAGCTGGCGTGGTGTTCCCATGATCTTCATAGCGGCCTGGAGATGAGTCCAGGATTGGCCCTTGTGAAGGAGATCACAGTGGGGAAGGATGGGAGGCGGTTCAGGTTACAAGTGCATGGTGAGCGCAGTGCCCTGCTGCTCAGCTGGCGTGACGTTTCCATGATCTTTACAGTGGCCTGAGATGAGTCTGGGGTTGGCCGTTGGGAATGAGGTCCCTCTGATCAACAGGTGGCATGGCCGGACACGGTGGCGGCTGGGAGAGACAAGAGGTTCCGGCTGGAAGTGCATGGTGAGACGGGCGCTCTGCACCTCAGCCGGTGCGGCGTGCCTTTGAATTCGTGGCCGCCTGGAGATGAGTTGGGAGTCAGTCTGGATCTAAGACCGCCTTGGTATCATAAGCTGCAGCGCACCGATGCTCGTTGTTGATTGGAGATGAATCTGTGACCGATTCCGAGGTTGCTGCGTTCCACAACTTGGCGGAGCAGTGGGAAGGGCAGCATAGCCAAGCTCATGAATACAAGACAGGTCTTATCAAACCAGGGTAGGTTCAGGCTGGTTGATTTAACCTCCACTCTCCTGCATTTCAACCGTATATCTTGTCCTATTTTTCTGTTTCTTGTGCTTAATGTTTTGCATTTGCTCATGCCTGTCCATCTTGCCTCCCTTTTGACTTGTGGGAACCTCCACTCGAGTGTGTTGAGACTAAATTTACACGTACATCATCCCTAACTGTTGCTGCAGGTTTCATAATCTGTGCTGTAAGCCTTCCCGTGACGGAGTTGCATAAGCGAGCCGCGACCCATCCTTCGAGCTACTTGGGTTGGGAAAACTCTCCAATTATGTCTTGGAAATGACGTTGGCCAAAAGTTCAATGTCGTCCCAAAAACGTCAAATGAAGAAGCGTTTGTTTGTGCTTACTAGCAGTCTAGGTGCAAGTGGTAAAGAGAATGATATGTTTCAATATTTGATGGTTTATCAGAAATAGTGTACGTGTCAAACGAAGAAATGCTCTTCACGGGGATTCACATCTGGGGAATTCAAGCCTTGCGAATTCTTTCACACCCCAAGCATTCACACCTCGGGAATTGTTTGCAGCTTTTCTGGACCCGATGCCATAGCTTTCTTTTGGATGGATAACTCCACTCCATCCATAGCATAGCATGTTCTTGCCAAGCTCCCTCACTCCATAACCGATCACGTAGACATACTACTATGGGCACGAGTATGGGATACAACCTGCTGCCTTAAACTTCCGAGATCCGACCACAGCTGTAGTTTCTATCACGTAGAGACATGATCGGCGAGCCGGTCACGGTCTTCGTCTCTGATGACCTGGCGCCAGCCGACGTTGAGCACTGGCTGTCGTTTGACGAAGCCGTTTTGCCTCATCCTCCGCCTTCCACCGACGACCCTCACTTGCAGACACAGCTTCTCCCGGAGTTACCGTTCAATTCTTTAGATCCTTCACTCGCTTTTCTGATAGGCGACGATGCTCTTATAGGTGATGCATATACAGGAGACGCTAACACAGACTATGTTCCTGCACTCGGTGCTCCGGCTAACCCAGTCGAATTGAGTCCAAAATTTCGATTGGATGATTTACTTGGAGAGTTCACGGAGAGGGGGACTTCACCTGATTCGGATGGCGTAGATCCCATACGCCGACAAACAAATACACGCGAGGCGCGTACGGATGGATCAGGTGAAGCATTCGCGGATTTTATAGATGCGTGGGACTTCAGCGGCGCGAGCCATAGCCATGACTCTGCCACTCCCGAGGACGGCCGAGTAGAAAGGGTTGAATTGTCGCGTCCAGTGACGGGGTATGTCCCGGACGCAGGAAACGTTCTTGCAGCCAGCAATAATGCAGGCAGCAGTTTTGCACCCAGCAATTTAGACACATGCGTGTCAGAGCAGGCTGGTCCATCCACGTGGCTTCCTGATCAACCTCGGAATGTGGAGTTGGGGTCAGGACAAGGTTTCCCTGCCACGTCAGCATACGTTCTGCGCGCATTGCAGCCTGATGGTTCCCGTCCGCAGGTGCTGACCTTCGAAGAAGCTTCCGAGAGGTTGTTCGCGGCGGTAGCGCCAGCGCCTTTTCAGAGCGTGAGAGGCCGCTGTGAGCAGGTGCAGCGTGAGCAAGCACCAAGGGCGCAGCTGCTGCTGCCAGGGCAGGAGGAAGGTCAGAATCAGCTGCTGACGCCGCAGGAGCAGTCGCAGCAGCAAGGGCAAGATCACGATCTGGGCGAGCAGCAGCAGCAGCAGGGATCCCTTCGGTCGAGTATATCCCCCGGCACGCGTCCTCTCCGCTCTGCCATCCAATCCCGACCCTCACCCCCCCAGCGCTCCTCTCCCACCCAGCGCCTCTCGCCCTATCTCGGCGGTGACATAGGCGTGGGCGGGATCAGAGGGCCTCCCGCCGATCCTCCCTCCGCTCCGCCACCGTCCAAGCTGCCTCGGCGACCCCCCGACCTCTCCTCCCGCCTTGCCGCCGTGCTGCAAAACATCAACCCACCGGGGCCTGCGACCTCCCCCTGGCAAACCCTCCCCTGTTTGCCCAAGCCGGGCCTTCCTTGTGCTGCCACGCCTGCAGCTCCCGCTGCGCCTGCAGCTCCCGCTGCGCCTGCAGCTCCCGCTGCGCCTGCAGCTCCCAATGTCACTGCCTCTACCGCTGGAGCTTGGTCGTTCCCTGTGCTGGGATCATCCGCAGCAGCAGCAGCGATTTCACCAGCACCACCTACAGCAGCAGCAGCAGCAGCAGCAGCGCTAGCGACAGCTACAGCAGGAGCAACAACAGCAGCAGTAACAGCAGCAGCAGTAGAGTTAGCAGTAGCGTCTGCAGTGTCTTGCATACAGGCGCCTGAGAGCAGTCTCGTGGTTGGAAGCAGTCGGGGAGACGCGAATGGTTTTATGCGCTCAACACTGCTCTCCTCTGCTGCTAACAGTAGCGATGCTGTTGCTTGTGGATATGACCAGCAAGTGCAGTGGCCAGCATCTTCTCTGGACAGCAGTGCACTAGGCAGGATTCGCGTCAATAAGGCGCACAGCAACCCACTGAACACTGCCCCAGCCAGTGCAGGGCACAGTGCAGCAAGCAGGGCGTCTGTCACCACCCCCCACGTTGTTGCATTCCGCCCCGAGAGGCCCCTGCGAGTGGATGTGTCGGGCATGCTGCCACGGCCCATGTGTGGCGCGAGGGAGGGCATGCTGAAGCAGCAGCTCATGGCTCTCGCTGAAGCCATGGCCGTTGATGACTCGGTGCGTTGGGCTCGTGTCAAGTGGGGAGTGGAATGTTTGTTGGCTTGTGCTGATGCATGGCTGAGCAAGAGCAGCAGTGCACTATTTGGAGTCTTGTTCGTCGTCTCACTTCCTCCTGTCCTTCATCTCATTTTTTCCTGTCCCCAAAATCTCTCCGTCTCACTGACCTGTTTATCCCAAACCACACGCATTCAAACCCCTTTCCCCCACCAGGTGCAGTGGTGGCAGTGCATGCACTTGTGCTCATTCCCCAAAGCTCTTCTGATGTTTCAACAAAAGCGGATTCATGCCCTCAACCAAACCCCTCCCCCCACCAGGTGCGGTGGCGGCAGTTCATGCGGCAGGTGCGGAGGGAGGCGGCAGTGTGGGGGGACACGCCGCAGCGCATCGCCTTTCACGCCTTGGAGGCGCTGCGGGCACGCATGGATGGCACCGCACTCACAAGATGGCGCACTCCCTTGAAAGTCACCCTTCAGGTACTCGCTTTCCCCCCTCCCCGCCTTCCCCCTTCCCACCTTTCCCGCTCCCTGTCTTCCCCACTCCCCACCTTCTCCCCCCTTACCCCCCCTCTCCCCCTTCGATGCATGCCATGCCACGTGTCCCATGCACGCCACGTGTTCCATGCATACGATGTGTCCCAAGCATGCCGTAGGTCCCATGCATACCATTCATCCCATGCTTGCCACGTGTCCCATGCATCCCACGTGTCCCATATGAGCAGGATTCGCTGGCAGCGATGGGCCACGGCAACGAGCATGGGATGCCGGCATTCATGCACCTCGCCAACACTGCAGCCGTGCACGAAATCTTTCACGCATTCACTCGCCAGCCACATGCTCACGCACGCACACACCCACACGCACACGGCCATGCTCCCCATTCCACTGCCACCCTCCCACACTACCGGCACCCGCCTGCTCCTTCCCAGTGTGCCTCTTTCCCTGCCTCTTTCTTGGCCTCTGCCGGCCAGTCGGTGCGGCGGCGGCGGCTGCACATAATAGCCATTGGGTTCTACGGCGGGCCCCATTGGATCAACATCCTCATGCGCCTCGCCGCCCACTTCTCCACCCCTCCGCTCCTTCCTGCCACTGCTGCCGCCGACAATGACCTTCCACCAAGTGGAATCCCCACAAACCCCCCCACACCTCTTTCACATGCTGCTCCCCCGTCCCGCCCGACAGCCCACGTGAAAATCACAGCCGTTGACTTAGGGGTTGTCAAAGTGGAGGAGTATCCAACGGGCCTGGTGCATCTGGGGGGGAAGTACCTGGGGCAGGTGGCATCTATGCTCGGCCTCTCTCTCACCTTCCATGGCATAGAAAGCACACCACATGACTTCCACCCCTCACAAGTGGAGGTGGATGAAGGGGAGGAGGTGGTGGTGCTGGCCAATTGGGGCCTCATGGTCTTTCCAGACGATACAGTGCTTCGCTCCAATCCCCGCAATTCCATTCTCAAGTGGATTCGGGACCTGCGCCCGCTGCTCCTCCTGCAGGTCGACATTGATTTGGATGCCAACGGGCCCTTCTTCCTCTCGCGCTTCCACGCCGCGTTTGCTAACTTTGCAGCGTTCGTCGAGTCCTTTGATGCTTCCATGCCGCACGCCGCCACGCCACGCTTCGCGGTAGAAAGCATCCTTGCACACGACTTTATAAACGGGGTCGCATGCGAGGGCATGAACCGATGGTTGCGGTCGGAGCGGCTGGAGAAATGGGTGCATCGAATGAGAACCATAGGGCTGGAGCCGGTGCCGATAGAGCCGGATACAGTGGCGGCTGGGAGGGAGATCACAGAGGGGAAGGATGGGCGGTTCAGGTTAGAAGTGCATGGTGAGAGTGGCGCCCTACAGCTCAGCTGGCGCGGCGTGCCCTTGCTTTTTGTGGCCGCCTGGAGATGAGCTTTGAAACAGTCTCAAGTGCCTCTACGTCCCTAATGATTGCTCTGGCCACGTGGCGACGAGCTTTGAGGCATCTCACAAGTATTGGCGTCCTGATTATCTGTGTCGGCCCCTGGGACCGATTGGAGGGCCGCCCTGATCTGCATGTTGGTTGAGCAATGGCAAGGGCAGCATCGCCAGGACTACAGGTTTTATCAAATCAGGGTAGGCTTCGCTTTATGCCCCTTGTGACCGCCGTTGCCCTGCATTTTCACCCTTCTCGCCCCATGTTACAGAACTCTTGCGCTTGATGTTGGCATCTTCGTGTGCAGCTTCCCTCTCTTCTGACTTATTTTTTTCCTTGCGGAAGCCTTGCTATTTTCCCCAACTGCAGGCGCATGTTGCTCACACCGGCCTCAACACAGAAATTGAGGGGCGGGGAAGGAGGCTGAATCCCTCAGAGTAAGGCTGTTGAGGGGCAAGGGGGGGGGGGGGTGGGGAGGCAAGGGGTTGGAACCCCCAGGCTGAAGCAAGCAAGGGGCAGGAAAGTTCCCTCCTCTGCTTTTTGCCCGCTTTAGCCAGGGTGTTTCAACCCTCTCACCTGTCTCTCGACCTCTTTACTCTGGGGTATTCACCCTCCCTCCCTGCCCTGCTGTCGCAGCGCTCCAGAGGCCTCACCCCCTCCCCCGCTCTCCTCACTCGCCTCTCCTCCTCAGTGATGGTAGTGGAGAGTGGCTAGAGTGCCTGGAACAAGGGGGTGATGCGGATGAGATGGCATGGCATGTGCAGTGGTGGTGGTGATTGCCAGTGGCACTTGCTGACAAGTGAAGGGTCAGAGGCAAGAGAAGGTCACCAGTGTTGGGTCCATGAAGGCTACCTTGTTACAGTATGTGGCAAAGTGAAACTTCTTTCTCTGATTATCTGTGTTTTGGCCATGGGCTGCTGATCTGCAATATTAATTCAGTAAGCTAGTTCAAGGTGTTTGCTGCTAGTACTCAGATGTGTATATGCATGCACCCGACCTGCAAATCTGTTTTTCGAAATCTCACATTACATAAACATTGGACATGTTTGGTTTGTGTATGGTGCTAGCTATGTTTGTATGATGCATGTCAATGCTTCATTTTCAAGATGTCTCCTACTGGTATCTGAGGGATTCAGTGGGTGATTATTATGAGTAGAACGGTGTACAGCTACCGGGAGGGGCTCAATCAGGCATCATCTGTACCTGTCCCTTCGTCCCTGCAATACCAGAAACACTACGCGGTGTGCTCGAGATTATGGTTGGTCCCGCGATCATCGTTTTTATTTGACCGTTTTATTCCCGCAGTCCATCTCCTCTAGATTTCTTACTATTCTGTGTGGAGGCTTCTCATTACGAGCATAGCTATGCGATATAACGTCTGCGCACCGATCTGATTCGACTCTGTAGCGCGCTTCGGCTGTAATCAAAGGGATGGCGAAGCGCAGGTCGTCGTTTCCCATCGTGCGATGGCTGCTCATCGCGTGCGCCTTCTCCTTCGTTCTCGTTCAGGTCGGCTCGCATTGCACTCGTTCTTAAGAATCCGATTATAGCGCAGCCGACGTGCCTCATTCTCTCGATGTCATTCCAGCGATCGCTTTGTCCTAGAGCATGTATGTATGCAACCCGTCGTCGTCCCGGCCTCTGCACCAGCGTAAATTCACCTTATTTTCTGCATACTGCCGTCTCTATCCGTCTTCTATTCCGTCAAAATCTGATCTCCCCGGGCAGCTTCGGATGCTGGTGATAGGAACGGAGTGCTCGGACCGCGTGAAGGTGCTCATGGAAGTCTAGCGCACATTCACCTTATTTTCTCCATACCGCCATGCCTATCCATCTCGCATCTCGTCAAAACTCGATATTGCGTGCAGATTCGGATGCTGATGGTAGGAACGGAGTGCTCGGACCGCGTGAAGGTGCTCATGGAGGCGCAGCGCAAGTGGGCCAACGAGGCTCGCGCGCTGCGGAAGAACCTGACAGATGTCACCCGTGAGTGCCGTTGGGACATGCGATAGCTCACCATTTATTATGCACACTGCACGGTATGACCACGCTTGAACCTCACAGGATTAATATAGGGCGCCAATCTCCATGAATAATATAACAGGCCAAGCTCTTTTCCTGTTATGAATCTCGACTAGATCACACACGAGCATTCTCGCCAACGCTTGTAGAGAAAGAGTTGCTGATCAGTTTGCTTTTACTGAACCTGCTGCTGCACATGCTGAAAGTCGGGACAATTCAGGCCGATAAATCAACGTAATGTTTGCCTGAATTGACTCAAATGGCACACGTCTTCTCCCACTGACGCAGGAGACGCGATGGGGCTGGAGGAGGAGCTGGAGAAGGCGCAAACGGCTTACAAGCAGATGCGGCAAGGTGAGTAGCACAGGCGCCTGCATGGGTTCCACCAGTGTGGTATGTTTGGTCGGAGTGATGTGTGGGCACGGACTGGGTATTCCACGCATGGGTGAGGTATGGTGGATGGATGAGAGTAGGGTTGTGACATGGCCTTAGCGTGCGGGCGCTGCACGTTAGGTGCAGGTAGGGTGGAGCCTAGGATACCTGGTCTGTATCCTGCTTGCATGTGAACTGTGCTGTAATCGCTCTCTGCTTCCGTGCTCACTCCACTGTGCACCACTATCAATGGCTTACCTATTCCCGCCCTTGTCTCCTCCTACCTGTTGCTCCCCCTGTGCCTTCACCCTCCTCCCCTCCCACCCGCCACACTGTCTCCTGCCTGCTGTCTGCACGGCCAACACCCGCTATCGACTCACTGTACTGCTGCGCCATGCTGCCGTGGATGTGCTGCCATGCTCTGTCGCGTCTACCCGGTGGACGCATTGCTATACTGGGATCTGGATCTGGATCTGGATCTGGATCTGGATCTGGATCTGGATCTGGATCTGGATCTGGATCTGGATCTGGATCTGGATCTGCCTGCACCTGTGCTGTTATGCGTGCCTGCCGCCCGCCGGCTCACCGTCTGGCATGCTGGTTCCTGTCACTGCAGAGCTGGTGAGTTGCCCTCAAGTCCCTTCTGCTGAAAGGTCGTACTGCAATGCTAGTGCCCTTGTTTCGCCCGAACGTTGAGCCAATGTTGAGAAGCATGCGTATACACGTCCGTGTGCAGGAAGCTGCTCAGAGGAGACAGCAGCAGCAGAAGGCGCAAGAGCAAAGCGCGCAACAACAGGGACAGCAGCAACAAGAACCAGCACAAGCCAAGGCAGCGAAAGAAGGGCAGACAGGAGCAGGGGGAGCGGGAGGTAGCATACGAGGAGGGAAACTGCAGGATGGGGGAGTGGTGCAGGCAGGGGGGGCAGGGAGAGCAGGGAGGATGCGGGGAGGGGGCGAGGCAAAGGATGCAGTGGCGGCGGTGGTGATCATGGCGTGCAACCGAGTGGACTATCTCGATCGCACCATCCAATCCGTGCTGCTGTGAGTGTACCCTGCCGTTGGGAATGCTTCTGTGAGCGCTCCGCCATTGAAGTTGCTCCTGTAAGCTGCATAGGCTGCTGCCATGGGTGCCTTGTATATGATTCATGTATGTCCACTCACCGCATTCCACAACCATCCTGCTTGTTCCACCATGCCCGTCCACGGTCCACCCATCCTCACCAGCCTGCCCTCTCTGCCCTCTCCGCACTACTCACCCTCCCTGCAGGCACCACAAGGGTGCTGACAGCAAGTTCCCCCTCTTCATCTCCCAGGTGCAATGCCCCTTGCACAAAAGTTTCTTGCATGGCATGGCATGGCATGAAATGACATGATGTGGCACGGTATGACATGACGTGGCACAGTATGACGTGACGTGACATGGCGTGGCATACAATGAAGTCTCATCCCATTCGCCCATACCCTTCGTTTTTGTTTCTCTCACCGTCACCCTTCCCGTGTTTATTCTGCCATTCTGTCCGCATCTCTCTGTGGAGTTAGGACGGCACAAATCCAGGAGTGAAGGAGACGGCCAAGCAAGCCCACCAGTTCACCTACCTGCAGGTGAGCTTATTCTTGCAAGATATTCTTACAGGGGAGTGTTGCAAGGTAACATTTTGCAGGTGACTGTGGCAAGGAACGTATTTGCAGGTGCTCATAACTCTCTAGTGCAGCACTGGTGAGGTGCAACCTCAGGGCCCTCAATTGTGGCTCATATACTTTCCGTTCCCATCACCCCCCTACTCCTCCTGTTGTCTGCTTGTCTGACTCAGCACATCGAGACAGCACCACCCAGAATGAACAACCCAGGAGAGAACATTGCGTATTACAGAATAGCAGGTGAGAGTGGTTGCCAAGGGCTCCTCTTGTGTCTGTATGCTCAGTCCTATCACGGTACGCGTCTGTATGCTCAGTCCTATCACGGTACGCGTCTGATGCTCAGTCCTATCACGGTACGCGTCTGTATGCTCAGTCCTATCACGGTACGCGTCTGTATGCTCAGTCCTATCACGGTACGCGTCTGATGCTCTCCTGGCTGTCATTATCCCATGTTCTTCCCGTTGTGCCTCTCCAGTGCCCTCAAAGCAAACAAGTTCTGCTCATGGATTGTGCTGTGTTAATGCAGGCGCCTATTCACATAGCCTGCCCCCCTGCCCTTCACCCCCTGTCCACGTCCGCCGTGCTTCCCACTCCCACCCCCCCCTCTCGTGCTTCCCGGCAAGCTCAGAGGATTATAAGTTCGCCCTCACAGAGCTCTTTGATATGCGTGTGTTTTTGACACGTTTCAAAACCACACCTTGTGCCCACGTCCTCCCTGCTTCTCGTTATCCATGTGTGCCCACAAGCGCAGAGCATTACAAGTTCGCCCTCACAGAGCTCTTTGACCGACGGCAGTTTCCACGTGTCATCATTCTCGAAGGTACGCTTTACAAGGTTCCCTTCTTGCTGTTTATAAGGTGGCCGTATTTGTGGCGCTTAACTGGTAACTGGTTTGCATGGAACAGTTGCACTTAACGGCATGGGGGCTAGCTCCTGACCTCTTTGCACCTAGCAGTTGCACTTAACGGCATGGGGGCTAGCTCCTGACCTCTTTGCACCTAGCAGTTGCACTTAACGGCATGGGGGCTAGCTCCTGACCTCTTTGCACCTAGCAGTTGCACTTAACGGCATGGGGGCTAGCTCCTGACCTCTTTGGACCTAGCAGTTGCACTTAACGGCATGGGGGCTAGCTCCTGACCTCTTTGCACCTAGCAGTTGCACTTAACGGCATGGGGGCTAGCTCCTGACCTCTTTGCACCTAGCAGTTGCACTTAACGGCATGGGGGCTAGCTCCTGACCTCTTTGCACCTAGCAGTTGCACTCAACGGCATGGGGGCTAGCTCCTGACCTCTTTGGACCTAGCAGTTGCACTCAACGGCATGGGGGCTAGCTCCTGACCTCTTTGCACCTAGCAGTTGCACTCAACGGCATGGGGGCTAGCTCCTGACCTCTTTGCACCTAGCAGTTGCACTTAACGGCATGGGGGCTAGCTCCTGACCTCTTTGCACCTAGCAGTTGCACTTAACGGCATGGGGGCTAGCTCCTGACCTCTTTGCACCTAGCAGTTGCACTCAACAGTCGCCTTTTCTCCCCAACCCCCACTGTCTCACGTGTCCCTCCAGACGACATGGAGCTAGCTCCTGACTTCTTTGATTACTTTGAGGCCGCCTCGAACCTGCTGGATGTGGACGAGTGAGTGGAGGCATGTGGTGCGGTGCGGTGTGGTGGGATACATTGTGGTGTGATGTGGTGGGATGCAGTGTGCTGCAGTGCTCTCCAGTGCTACACAGTTCAGTGCGGTGTGATGTCACATGCCATGATGTGCTGTGTCATCCTTCAGTACAGTGCGGTGCAATGCAATGTGACGTGGTGCAATGCTCTGTGACCTGGACGACAATATCTCCATCATCCATCTTCCCCATCCCTCCCTCTCAGGTCCATCCTGGCTGTATCCTCGTGGAACGACAACGGCCAGAAGCAATTCGTGCACGACTCACACCAGCTCTACCGCTCCGACTTTTTCCCGGGGCTGGGCTGGATGCTGAGGAGAGAGCTGTGGGCGGAGCTCAAGCCCAAGTGGGCCAGGGCCTACTGGGACGACTGGCTGCGCCTCCCGGAGCAGCGCAAGGGCCGCCAGACCATCCGCCCGGAGGTCTGCCGAACCTACAACTTCGGGGAGCATGTGAGTGGGTCTGCCGGACAAAGATATTTGGGAGATTTTTTTTTTTTTTTTTTTTTTTTTTTTGAACTATGTACCCTCCATTTACCTTGAATATGAATGCAAGTGTTTCAGCCAAATTTTCTCAGCCCATGCCGCATGCAAAACCCACCTTGTCAAACACCACTCTTCTTTGCTTCTTACATTCCCTGCGTCTGCTCCTGTCCTCCTCCTCCAGGGCTCCAGCATGGGCCAGTACTTCAGCCAACACCTGGCACCCATAAAGCTCAACACTGAACCCATCAACTGGGCCCAAAAGGACCTCAGCTATCTGCTGGAAATCCCCACCTTCATTGTCTCCTCTGTTCCCGGCCTCTGCTCCTCTCTCTCTCTCTCCACTCCTTCAGGGCTCCAGCATGGGCCAGTACTTCAACCAGTACCTGGCGCCCATCAGGCTCAACACCGAGCCCATCAACTGGGCTCACAAGGACCTCAGCTATCTGCTAGACGTCAGCTACCCCTCCTACATGCTCTCGCAGCTGCGCTCAGCCCGCCTCATCCCACTCGCAGCAGTGAATACCGAGGTGGTAACCCCATCGGAGCTTGGTTACGATGTCATGGTGGAGTATCGGGATGAAAGCAGTTTCGCGGAGCTTGCGGGGGAGTTTGGCGTGTTTCAGGAGTGGAAGGCGGGAGTGCCTCGCACGGCTTATAGCGGGGTAGTAGTGTTTCGGTATCACGGGCCGCATCGAGTGTTTTTTGTCGAGCGGAGAGGGCTGGCTAAGTTGGGGTTTAAGCTGCCAACTAGCACGTAGAGCTGAGCTTTTACCGGGGGTTAGGATTCACTCATATTGATGGCTGATAGGATGTATGAAACAAAATCATCATGCTAAGGTAATTTGAGTTACATAAAAACAGGATCATATCTTATATTTGTTCTCATTGCTATACTGATGCAATCTCCAAATTGTTTGTGAAGGCTGATATCGCAGGAGGCTCATAAAGGTTATTTATATCATTCCCGTAGCTTCAGCTACGTGCCTCGCTATTAGTGGTTACTGACCACGTGGCGACTAACTGACCACCGCGCATGCATCTAGCCCTTCCCTACCTGATGGGTGAAGCCACTTGCCTGTCTCAAGTTCGCCGCACCACACAGATTCGCCCTTTTCCGCGCCCTCACTGTCACTGCGTGCCCTTCGGAACACAGTACGAGTCGCGCATTGACAATACGAGTAGGGAGTCCCTTTTGCCCGAATCTCTCCCTCTCTCCCGCGTTTCGCGCCTCTCGCGCCGCTCGTGCTCTCTTTTCCAGAAGCGATTCTAAATCATCAGGCACCAGAGGGGTTCGTATTGGTTCGTCTAGGCCGCAGTGAAGCATCTATGACGGTCCCCCGACGGCAAGCCGTCTCGTCTGACTGCAACCGTTAGTGTCCCTTACTCTCTCTACTGCTAAGAGCATCGAATTCCGCGCATCGGATCGGAAACCGCTCTTTCGAATCCCGTGACCATGGCCTCGACAAGCCTTTGCCACGTGTCCGCCTCCCTGTCCCACCGCACGCTTCTCCCCGTTCCTTCACATCCAAACGTCGATTTCACCCTAGCTGCGCGCCCAGCCGTTCCGCACCGGCGGCGCGCTCTCCGCGTATCCGCTCCGCGCGCGCAAGCCGACAATGGCTCGAGTCAGAGAAGCGGGCCGCGGTGGGACCCGTTATTAGCAGACTCGGGAACAGATTGCCCCGTGCCGGAGGAGCAGCAGCCTATTAACGAGTACCAGAGCCTTCTAGAGAGCGCGGTGTTCCCGTGGGTCACGCTAGACGGCCTTAACTACGCGCTGCGGCTCCTGGGCATTGGAGTGGTTGTCTCCGCGCTGATTGGCTGGCCTATCGCGTCGCTGACGTTCGATCCCAAGGTAGGGGTGCAACCCCAAAGTGTATTGGCTCTCCCTTTTGAGTCGACTCAAAAGTGCAACCCCAAAGTGTATCGGCTCTCCCTTCCCTCCCCCTCTCTCGTCCGTCGAGGCCTCCCACTTGCCTCCCTCTTCCTCCATCCCCATTCCCTTCCGCCTCCCGTCCCCCCGTCTCGCTTCCTGCCTTTTCTCTAACCCCATTCCCACGCCCCCCTACATTCCTACCTCCCTCCCTTCCTGCATCCGTACTTTCCTTTTCCGTCTCTCCCTTTCTTCCTCCCTCCCTCATCTTCTTCCCCCTTTCCCAGAGGGACGCGCTACAGTGTCTGCTGGGGTCACTGGGCGGCGGCCAGTTGGCGGTTACGTTGGCGGCGCTTCGGCTGTATCTGGGGTGGTCGTATATCGGCAACAGACTGTTCAGTGCTACAGTGGAATGTGAGCTATAGTCTGGTACTAAGTACATAGTAAGCAGTGCTACTGTTTTACACACCCACCCCCCAGCCGCCCCCACCCCCCTCCCTTTCCTCACACACACGCACACATCGCTTTCTCAAGCCCTTCGAGCATCTCTCACCTTCCCCCACCCCCTTTTCCCCCACTCTATGCCCCACAGACGAGGAGACGGGGTGGTACGACGGGCAGGTGGGGTTGAAGACCCCTGAGCTGCATAACAGTCAGTTCTACTGTTTCACAACCAAGCTCCTGAGCAACTCTCACCTTCCCCGCTCCCCTTTTCCCCCACACTCACAGACGAGGAGACGGGGTGGTATGACGGGCAGGTGTGGGTGAAAACCCCCGAGCTGCTGGCGCGAGACAGACTGCTCGCCTCCTACAAGGTGGGTTGGGCCGCACACAGCAGATAACCTGCTTCTTCTGAGCCTCGCTATGCCCCTGTTGCAAGCGCTGTGTGCGCCATCCATGTATGCCCATCTGTCTCATCCCCGCCTCTCCACGGGTTTACGATGAAGGGAGTCTGATATTCCAACCGATCTCTCCACACCCCACCTGCCCCCAACAGGTGAAGCCAGTGCTCAATCGCCTCAAGTCCACCCTCCTAGGCTTGGGCCTCTCCCTTGCCACCACTACCGCGCTCCTCTTCCTCCTCCCCTCCTCTGCCTCTTCCTCCTCCTCCCTCTCCAGCTTCACTCCTGCCTCTTACATTCCGGACTCATCTGCCACGTCAGCACTGACAGCTCAGCAGGAGCGAAGAGCTGGTGAGGTGGAGGGAGGGGATTATATGGAAGGCGGGATGGTTCTGGCGTCCCCGTTACTAGATGCCATTCCTGGGTGCGGGCCGGCAGAATTGGCAGCAGATGCAACCGTTTGAACCCTTGGGGGTCTGAGAATGGAACTCTGTGTTTGCATGCTTTGCAGTAAAGCCAAAGATTTTTTGGAGAAGGGGGAGGGGGGAGGGGCGGATGGAGAGGGATCACTGGAAGTCCTTTTTTTATCCGAAACACCGTGTGTACTAGTATGTTTTGTTTCTGTCAGAAGTGAAGCTGCCCGCTGATGCACCCATTCATCATGTGAACGTTGGCCAGCGTGCCTTTTGCAGAAGCTCTCACCCCCAGCCCCAACCACTCCATAGCTTCGACTCCTGCGTATAGCTTCCACTTCCTCCAGACCACCTATCCATCCTTCATTCCTCAGTCACCCCTTCACATCCCAACCACCGCTGCTTCTTCTCTGACTACCCACCTTCCTGGCGATCCTTCCTGGCGATCAACCTGCGAAGGAACCCATCAGTCAGAGATCCATCTTCATTTCCATCTGCATTCTCGACAAGGTACCGTACGCTCCACTATCCTTTCAAAGTGAGCCAGCGGAGACTGCACTGCACAGTCCCTCTCCCTCACCATCTCCTCTTTGAGGCCCAATGCAACGATCACAGGCAAACAGCAGCACCAAGGAGGGGACGAGACGCCGCTGATCTAATTGGCTCACCACATACGGCTGCACCTCTGAACTTGGATAGATGTGCCGTATTAGAAGTATGCATGAACATGTTTATATATTGCACTTGTTATATTGTGAGGACCAACCGTGACTAACAACGAGACATCGCACCACGACTCTCCATCGGCTGGTGCTCGCTCGGCCACGTTACCGCAGCAATCACCACTCCACTCTCTGGCTGCGAAGAAGATTGGATTCAACGTGGCGAAAGAGGTCACGACGGTCGGCGCCGCGTTCGCATTCGTATTGCTGTTTCGCACGGCTATCCCATCCCACCCTACAAATTCTCGCCCTACCTCTCTGTCTCTGGACAGGAGCTCCAAAATGAGAATCAAAGCTGCATTCTGTGGGGCCTTGTAAACCATTGCAGCCGTTTCTCGCACCCCGTTTGATCCCCGCCTCGCCGCCGTTACCCCTCCCGTTTACGATCGGCACTTCTCATTTCGCTGCTCCTCTCTCTAGCGTAAAGCTGAACGTTGATGCGAAAAGAGAGAATTTAAAACTTGTCAAAATTCCCGCACAAGATCATTTGAATGTGAATGTCGTCCTCGCTCGTCGCCAGGTCCCTTCCTCGCTGTTCTCTCCCTCGTCTCCGATCGCGTCAGATCTGTCCGTTCCACACCCGCCGCGCGGTGACTAAATCTCCCTTAATTTTCCGCATTGACCTCCATTCAGTCAGACTTAGCAGCATTCCGTGCATTCCCGTTACTCGCGCGTCCCCACCGCCTATTGTCACACCTCGCTGTGTCACACCCGTTAGCCCCCCCTCGATCCACGACCGGAGAGCTTCCCGGAACCTTCATTCTCAATTTCCGCGTCTTACAGCCGAGGTACCCTCAACGACCATACCTCTCCAAAGACTGACACGTGGCACACATTTATTCGCCTCGGCAACTTCCATGGAGGCTGCACCTGCGCTCGATGGACACCCGTCCATCCCGACCGCGACGGCGCGAGTCGCGGTGGTAGGCGCGGGAATCTCGGGGCTCGTCGCCGCGTCGATACTCGCGGAGCGCGGGGCACACGTGGCGGTGTTTGATTTGGGGAGGGGTCCCGGCGGTCGCATGTCGCAGCGGAGGGAAAGCATCACCGTTCCGCCACGTGGTAGCTCTACCGAGGCAGCCGTCGATGTGCCGAATGTAGAGGCCAGGTTCGACCATGGTGCGCAATATATCACCCTCAGCGACCCGAACGTGCTGTCCTTCCTGGAGCAGAGGTTCGGAGGAACGGGGGCGCTGGCGGAATGGCAGGGGCGGTTCGGAGTTTGGGACGCGGAAAAAGGGGAATTCACTCCAGGGGAGTTGGAGGACGCGGGGAGAGCGCAAGGGGGAGGAGAAGCGCACCAAGGGGGTAATATTGGTTTCGAGAAGCGGTTTGTGGGGGTACCTGGTATGAACGCCCTCTGTCAAACGCTGCTTCTCCCCTCACATGCGGCTTCTGCCGCAAACATCAACGCCAGATTCGGAGTCCAGGTGGCACGAGCGGATTGGCTAGAGCACAAAAACCCTACAGGAGTGACTGATGTAGACGAGGGCACCCCTCTCTCCCCGTCTTGGGAGCTTTTCTCGGCTTCCGGAGATTCCCTAGGTTGCTTTGACGGCCTGGTAATTGCTGCATCGTACCGGACCATGCCTGTGCTCCTGCCCGACCTGCCGAGTCTAGCACAGGTTCGGCAGGGCCTGGCGGAGGTCCGGGCATCGCCCAGGTTCGCGATGATGCTGGCGTTCGCCGAGCCTCTCAGCCACGTGGCGTTTGATGGCGTGGATGTGGTGGGGAGTGATGTGGTGGGGTGGATTGGGAGGGACAGTAGCAAGCCGGGCAGAGCAAGGAGAGACGGAGGGCAAGACAGAGCAGACCAGAGCAGAGCAGAAGAACGATACCAGGAGGAGCAGTATCCTGGGTGCTGGGTGGTTCACTCCACTGCTCACTACGCCTCCTCCCTCCTCGCCTCTGCTCCCCCCGGCCGGCCCTCTCCGGACCTCCTTGCACGCGTGGCAGATGACATGTGGCGCGCTGTGAAGCCTATCCTGGGCGGTGGCAGTGGGAGAGAAGGTGGTGAGAGTGTAGGAGGAGTGGAGGGGGAAGAGGGGCTAGAGCCGATTTTGAGGAAGGTGCACCGGTGGGGAGGGGCGTTTCCTGTAGCGGGAGTGGCTGCAGGGGGGGAGAAGTGCTTGTGGAGCGAAGGGGGCCGGGTGGCGGCGTGTGGGGATTTCTGTGTGGGGGGTCCAACGAGAGGGTTGGTGGAAGGCGCTGTGGCTAGCGGTATGGAGGCAGGGCGCAAGCTGGGTGATGCTCTCCGGCTGGGCAGAAGTGCATTGTGAAGTGAGGATAACGCTCTCAAGCTGTCATGTGGGGGGGGTCAGGGGGAGGGTTGGTGGAAGGCGCTGTGGCTGGTGGCATGGAGGCAGGGCGGAAACTGGGTGATGCCCTCCGGCTGGAAAGAAGTGCATTGTGAGAATGATGCTGTCATGCTGTCATGTGGGGGCGGATGGTGATGTGAGATCTGCCAAGGGACCAAGGGTCGCATGAAGGCGAAGGGACCAGTGAGAGCATGTGTTTGGGAAGCTGGCCAGGCTAGAGACGGTTGTTTGAGAGAAGATGGGTGACAGCAGGGCAATGACATTGTTGCTTGTTTTGAATTGAAAGCTGGCTGCAAGTGTTTGATTCATGCTATATTGGTGCAAGTGTATTGTTTACAGACGTGGCCTAAAGACACATCTGCTATTCTGTTATCATGATGTGTCATTGGGAACTGATCACAAAAACGTTGCCCTAATAGTACGGTAGGATCCCTTCTTCTAAAGAAACCTAGTAGTGGAAGAATTATTCAGGTGAGTTGCAAAGATACTGCAAGGCAAGCTTGATAAGACAACTATCGCGAAACGAAGCATTCCCTCTGACAAGAACATTCTCCCACGTGAGTTCCTCCTGATACAGTAGTTCCTCCTCCACCCTGACGCCCTGGCCGCCATTGTTGGAAGGAAGTACGGAGTAAATGACGCGGTTTCTCGTCATGGCGGAGCTGGGTGGATGACAACAGGTGGATTAGCGCCTGTTAGATTTGAGTGATCAGTGGGTCTGGGGTCATGTGGTCTTGCTTCCGCGCTGCGTCGCGCGCCGCTGCGAGATCACCTGGGAAGCACGCTGGGTGCGAGATTCGCTCGTTTGTCGCCGCCAGATCAAACTCGCTAGATTGGCCCGTCACCCTTCATCGGTCGATCGCATGTCCTCCGCATTCAGCATCCACGTGGCGATCAGGCGAAGCGAACCGATATCTCATCCGTAGGTCGCTTGGACGGGAAATTAACAGCTCCGGTGCAGATGGTCCGGCTCAACGACCGGCTCATAGCCTCGTTCGGAATGTGGTTCGGCAGACCGAACCTCTCGGCGTTTACCCAATTTTTCGCCAGTTCTCGTTTCACGCGTGCAGAACCCAAGCAGCCGCGTGTCGGTCGTTGCCGGTAGTAAGCTCCGCTCGACCCTACACCAGTGACAGTAGCAGCAGCAACAGCAGCAGTGGCAGCAACAATGGCGTTGGCAGTGAGCAAGGATCAATCGGTCCTTGCAATGGTGCTCCTAGAAACCCGGAGACACGTGACAGTACAAGTCACACTGGCACGCGGATTCCCCAGGTTTACCCAGGACAGGGTTACCCGAGACAAAGTTCTCCGGGACATGGGTACCAAAGACAGGGTTACCCAAGACATAGTGACCCAAGACAGGGTTATACGGGACAGGGTTATCCGGATCAGGGTCCCCTGAGTAAGCTAGATTGGCGATTCGAGCGAAGCCAAGTCAGAAGGCGAGCTCGCGAACTCCTGTGGCGAATGAGCCAAGCAGCAGGAGCGGGTAACTACGAGCTTCTGCTATCGCTAGCTAGACAACCAGTGAGCGAGAAGGAAAGGCATTGGCGGGAGAGCGTCGAGCGGATGAGCAGCAGCGGAAAGAGAGGCCAAGACGAGAGGGGAATGGGGCATGAAGGCAGTGAAAGGGATGAGACTTGTGGCAGCAGCGACAGTAGCAGCAGCAGCAGCAGCAGCATAAGCAGCACGGAATCCGCACCACCTGAAGTGTTACCACCTGAAGCATCACCTGTTGTTTCACATGAGAACCTTCCACCTGCGAACGTTTTACGTGAAAGCTCAATAAGGCCATCGTCAGAATCAAAATCAACGGCTGGGAACGTTTCACCGAACTCCAACATACCACATCAGCCGTATCTGCTGCCAGCTCGGAGCGTCGCTGCCGTGCTGCATACCCTACGCAAGCAGCACGCACCAACGGTGGCCCTCCACGTGTACTGGAGGCTGAGGGCGGCTGGACAGCTGTCGTTTCACTGCAATGACGTGGCACTCGCCGCGTGCTGTGGTGTGGAGACGGATTATAGACTGGCGGAGTATGAGAGGGCGGAGAGGCGGCAGGGGAGAGGGTGGGGCGGGGGAGGTGCGCAGGGGAAAGGGGGAGCGGAGGAGATGGGGTTTCTGGGGAGCTCCGAAGGAGATGGGTTGCTGGGGGGGGAGGAGGGAGAGGAGGGAGAGGAGGGGGAGGAGCGGGAGGAGCGGGAGGAGGGCAAGGAGGGAGAGGCGGGAGAGGAGGAAAGGGAGGGAGGAAGTGAGGGAATGGAAGGGGAGGGGGGGCCCGAGGGAGGCGAGGGGGAATGGGAGACGGGTGGCAGCAGCAGCAGCAGCAGCAGCAGCAGCAGCAGCAGCAGCAGCAGCAGCAGCAGCAGGGGAAACGGCAGGCACAACAATGGGTGGCACAGCGATGGGTGGGCGAGTATCAACTGGCGCAGCAGGGGCATGCCCCCACCGTGGGTGCTCACGAGTCCCACCGTGCACGCAGCTCTGGGTACCCACGCTCCTGCCCCCGCCCTGCACATGCTGGCCGCGCAGGGCCTCTCCACCACAGGGCAGGGAGAGTTGGATTCCGCCCAGATGCCAGCACCGCACATGCTGCCTGGACAGGGGCTTTTGACAGGGCGCATGGGTGAGGGGGAAGTGACACAAGGGGCCAGGGGCAAGGCAAACGTTCTAGAGAGTGGACTGGGAGAGGTTGGTCTGGTGGAAGCAGATGCTGCTGCTGCTGCTGCTGCTGCTGCTCTGTTGCACTCTCATCAAGCCACCACTCTCCCTGCCCCCTCCCCTCACTCCCAAGCATCATGTAGCTCTCAAGCCTCCCCAGCCGACTGGCCAGCCATGGAAGCACTCTTCCCCGTGCTGTCCGCGCTGATCAGGTTCGAGGAGAGGTTCGGCATAGGCTCGAGCGCGTGGGAGGAGGTTCGGGCGCTGGGGCTGTGGGAGAGAGCAGCTTTGGAGATTCTGGCCGAGTCCCGGGGCAAGTTGCAGAGGTTCGGAGGGGAGCTGGCTCGGCCGTACCACCGGGTGCTCATGGCTTTGGCTCTGAGAGGGAGGGAGGATGAGATTGCTCAGGTGAGAGAGAAATGCCTGGTGCGTTTTTCTGAGGTGGCTTTTGAGGCGCCTCAAAAGTTGGCCGCACCACAGGGTGCACATGGCTCTGGCTCTGAGAGGAGGGGTGATGAGATTGCTCAGGTGAGGTAACTTTGTGCCTGCGGAGGCAAAGTCTGAATGGGTTTTTTCAGAATTATAAAAAAACGCTTGCAGGTGAAATTGCTCAGGTGAGATAACTGGTCCCTGATGAGGCACGTTTTGCAGGGGTGCATTTTGCTGAGTTGCGAGAACCTGCACTCCTCTCCTCTCTGCCAAGCCCACCCCCACCACTGCCCCCAGCAGGTGAGGGCATGGATGGAGCAGGACGGAGTGGTTCTAGCGCCCAGATTCCCTGAGTCGACTCAAAAGTCTGCTCACTCCTAACACTGCCCCGAACAGGTGCGGGCATGGATGGAGCAGGACGGAGTGACTGAGGCGCCCAGCTTCCCTGCGCTGCTCACACGCTTGTGCCATCTGGGCCAGTCAACGCCTGCTGCTGCGTCCCACGTGCCTCTGCTCTCCGTGCTCACCAGCAGCCCTGGTGAGTGCGTGTTGAGCCGTGCTCCATTCGCTGCTGCTGCTGCTGCTGCTGCTGCTGCTGCTGCTGCTGCTGCTGCTGCTGCTGCTGCAATCAATCCCCTATTCTCCCATGGTTCCCCTCCATCCCCCCTGGTCCCCCGACCAGACATCACAATCCAAAAGCTAGGCGCACAGCATTAGTATCACATGCTGTGAGTTCCTTTTCTTTCCACCTGCGCGACTGTATGCTGCTGCTGTTCCCCCACGCGCTGACCTCCTATTTCCAGTCGCGCAGGTGGAAAGAAAAAGAACTCATACGCTGCTACCAATCCATTCTTTTCCCGCTACCCCCCTTTTGCCCCACCAGACATCACGATCCACAAGCTAGCCTCACAGCACCGGTGGGGCGACATGCTGCTTCTGCTCCCCCACGCGCTCACCTTCTAATTCCAGTCGCATGGGTGGAATTCACATGCTGCCGATGCGAATCCATTCCGTTCCCTCTACCCCCCCTTTCCCCCACCAGACATCACGATCCACAAGCTAGCCTTACAGCACCAGTGGTCTGACATGCTGTTGCTGCTAACCCATGCGCTCGCCTGCTACTTTGAGTCGCACGGGTGGTAGCGCACCACCCTTTGGAGCTCAGCCCTCGCTGCTGCTGCCGCTGATGCTGCTGCTACGGCCGCTTTTGCTAACCCCTTCCCCCGTCCCTTCCGCCACTCCCTCTCACCCCCCCTCACCAGACATAACGATCCAGAAGCTAGCCTTACAGCAGCAGTGGGATGACATGCTGCTGCTGCTCCCCCACGCGCTCACCTGCTACTTTGAGTCGCACGGGTGGGAGCGCATCACCCTCTGGAGCTCCGCCCTCGCTGCTGTGGGCCAGGCGTGCCGCCCCGACGTGCTCAAGAGCATGGTGGATGCTGCTGAAGCCACAGGGCTGGCTGATGGTGAGTGCTGGGTGAGGGTGCGCGAGTAGGCTTGTGATGCGCCTCAATCAAAAGCCGGTATGCAACATTCCGCAAAGGTCCTCTAGGCTGCCGCCCGGACGTGCTCAAGAGCATGGTGGATGCTGCTGAAGCCACCGGGCTGGCTGATGGTGAGTGGAGAGTGAGAGTGGGCAACTAGGGTTCACGATGCGCCTCTTTCCCCCTGTCCGTCTCCCCAAACACCCTCCTGCCCCTCCCCCCCCCCCCCCCCCCCCCCCCCTCCCCCCCTCCCCCCCCCCCCCCCCCCCCCCCCCCCCCCCCCCCCCCCCCCCCCCCTCCCCTGCCTGTCAATCTCCCCAAACACCCCTCCTGCCCCCTCCCCCCCCCCCCCCCCCCCCCCCCCCTCCCCCCCCCCCCCCCCCCACCCCCCCCCCCCCCCCCCCCCCCCCCCTCCCCCTGCCTGTCAATCTCCCCAAAACCCTCCTGCCCCTCCCCACCCTCCCTCCCCTTGTCCCAGCCCCCTTCTCTCTCCGGGACAGCACACAGCTCACTCGAAGGCAGTTCATGGGGGCCAACCACTGGAAGGGCTTCTGGCTGCTGGTGGAGCGGCAGGGCCGACAACTCTCTGTCCTCCTCCCCCTCTTCCCTTTCCTTGCCTGTCCCAGCTCCCTTCTCCCTCCCTGACGGCACGCAGCTGACCCGCAGGCAGTTCCTGGGAGCCAACTACTGGAAGGGCTTCCGCCCGCTGGTGGAGCGACAGGGGCGGCAGGGGGTGTCAGGGGGCGAGTTTGAGCGCACGTGGGGGCTGGTGAGGCAGGCCGTGGCGGCCACGGGGCTGCACCCCCATGAGGGCATCTCGTCCCTCCTCATCTCTGGGCTCTGCGTCAACGGCCAGGTGTGCTCTCTCTGCTTGTATGTGCGCTATCTTTTTGGTGAATGGGTGTGTGCATTACGTTTGAGAGTGCTCCATGCCAAAACATACTTTGCGGGGTTTGTACTCGCCACTATCTTAACCCCGCATCTCTGCCCCTTCCCACTCACTCAACCCTTGCCCTTAAAGCAGCTTGACAGGGCGATGGAGGAGATGCAGCAGCTGTGAATTGGTCAGGAGGAGTTTTATTCCCCCATCCCATCCCCCACCCCTGGCGCCTCCGTCTCCCCAGCTCGACAGGGCGATGGATGTGTTGGAGGAGATGCAGCAGATGGGATTCGCCCTCACGCCACGCGTCTTCGATCCGCTGCTGCTGCAGCTCGCGCGCTCCAAGCTCTTCAAGGAGGCGCTCGCCCTGGCTGATGTCATGCGCCGCATGGACGGTGGGCTCACGGTGGCTTCCTTCAGCAGTCTCATTGAGGCGTGCCTGCAGGTCCATAATGTGAGTCGCTAGACTACATGGTAGGTGTGTGCGTGCGCATGCATGCATGTGCACGTGCCTACGCTGGTTGGGGTTGGTGGATGTTGTGTTGTGCCACATGACAGGCTTGATTGGGCGGTTTGGCTGTCATGTGAGAATGCTTCTCTTGTTTTTTTCTCCCCATCCCCATCGCCCGTGGCAGATCCCAATGGCACTGGAGCTAGTAGCGGGGATGAGGAGCACGGGCGTGCACAGTGTGTGCATGTGCGGTGTGATGTGTGTATGTGCTGCGTGGTTGGGTGCACATTGCTCGCTCTTCATCCCGCCATCCCCATCGCCTGTGGCAGATCCCAATGGCGCTGGAGCTAGTGGCAGAGATGAGGAGCACGGGCGTGCAGAGGAACAGCTACATCTACACGCCCATCATCCACGCCTTCTGTAAACAGGCACGCGTTGCAATCCACATCATCTATCAGCAGCCATGTCGTGTAACCCAGTGCATACGGATTCGCCCCAACGTGGTGGTTTTCACGCAGTTTCTGCTCGGCTGTGCACGTGCAATGCATGCTCGGCTGTGCACGTGCAATGCATGCTCGGCTGTGCACGTGCAATGCATTCTCGGCTGCGCAACCCCCACCAAACCCGATGCACGTGGCATTGCTTGACCCTCCTTCCCCCCTCCCCATGTCTCCCCGATGCTCCCCTCTTCCGCCCCACACTCTCCCCGCCCTTCTCTCCCTCCACTTCCCCCAAAACCCCCCTCCCTGACCCCCCACTGCCGACAGCCCAGGGGAAGCTGTCAGCAGCGATGGGGGTACTGAGGGAGATGATGGCAGACGGCATTCGCCCCAACGTGGTGGTGTTCACGCAGCTGCTGCACGGCTGTGCCCTCGCGCGCAACCGAGCCATGGGCATGCGCGTGCATGAGATGATGCAGCAGCACGGCGTGCCACCCAATGACTACCTGCATGCCGCCATGGTGGAGCTTTACCATAAGACAGGCGACGTGAATGGCGCCATGGAGGTGAGGATAGGGGAAGGGTGGAGAGTGGCATGGGTGGGTGTGGAATGGTGTGGTTGACTATGCCCATCCCTATGACTGGAACTGCAGCTCCAGTCCCCAAGCCGAGACTGCTAAACCCTAAACTCTAAACCTGAATCCCCAAGCGGTGGGACTGCAGCTCCAGTCCCCAAGCGGTGGGACTGCAGCTCCAGTCCCCAAGCCGGGACATGCGATGATGCAGCAGCATGGCGTGCCTCCCACTGACTATCTGCACGCCGCCATGGTTGAGCTGTATCACAAGACAGGCGATGCCAATGGCGCCATGGAGGTGAGGAACGGATGGGGGAGGGGTGGAGGGTGATATGAGCTGTCCTCATTCTTTGCTGCAATAGCTGTAACCACTCTGCATCTCCTCCCTTGTTCCTACCCGCTCCAACCCCTTCCCACCCCTCTCCACCCCACCAGTACCTGGCAGAAGCAGAGAGATCCAATGCAGTGAGAGCTTTAGTCGAGGCCATGGCAGCAGCTTTACGCCGAGGGAAGCCGAGGGAACCATGACCCCAAGGGCCCTTGGTGGAAGCCGAGGGAACCATGACCCCAAGGGCCCTTGGTGGAAGCCGAGGGAACCATGACCCCAAGGGCCCTTGGTGGAAGCCGAGGGAACCATGACCCCAAGGGCCCTTGGTGGAAGCCGAGGGAACCATGACCCCAAGGGCCCTTGGTGGAAGCCGAGGGAACCATGACCCCAAGGGCCCTTGGTGGAAGCCGAGGGAACCATGACCCAAAGGGCCCTTGGTGGAAGCCCGTTTCTCGTTGCCCCAGCTCCCTCACTCCCATCTCCACCCACCTCCCAACCCCTTCCCACCCCCTCCATCCCCACATCCCTGCCAGTACCTGGCAGCAGCAGAGGCGGCAGGGCACAGAGTAGGCGCCAACGCAGTGAGCGCGCTGGTCGAGGCTCTGGCAGCAGCGGGGCGCACAGAGGCAGCTCTAGCGGCGTTCCACCGGGGGCGAGCACAGGGCGTGCAGCCGCTGCCGTACGCCGTGGGGACCATGATCATGGCGCTTGGGCGGGCGGGCAAGGTGGAGGACATGATGGTGCTGTTCCGCGAGTCACGCCGAGGGGCACGAGGGGCGCGGAGGGTGCAGGGGGGCAGGTGGACATGGGGGAGCGGGGAGGATGGGGAGACTGGGGGGAAGGAGGGGAAGGAGGGGAAGGATGAGGGCGGGAGGCAGTGGGAGGGCGTGACGTGGCAGCAGGAGATGCGGAGTGGGCATGCGCTGGTGGTGCAGACGCTGGCGTGCCTCGTGCAACTCCATGACGTGCAGTACGGCCAATGCTCTCCTTGCCTCCCTGCCCATGCCCTCCCTCCCTGCCGTCGATGATCTATCTATCCCCTGTGCTTCTCAGGTGCAGCCATTGCAAAGCGCCTTACTAAACCACCACGAGATCCCTTGCATGGTGCCATATCCTCGGCTCAACCGCCCTTCGTGCTTTAGGAGCATGGCGGCCTGCCCTCACCTCGGCTTTAGGAGCATGGCGGCCTGCCCTCACCATCTGTTGCAGTGTGCTGCTCTGCTCGCTGCTCCCCATACACCTCTCCCTGTGTGCGTACGCATACTGAAATTACAGAGTTTGAGGATGCCCCTCACCTCAAGCGGTGATTCAAGGAAATCACTTCTGAGAATTCTCAAAAGTGATTTCCATATAGCTGAAATTAGAGAGGCGTTCAAGGATGACCCTCACCCCAAGAGCTGATTTTAAGTCGACTTCAAAGTCGCTCCCCATGTGCCTTTCTCCTCTTGCTGCATGCAGGCGCATTTTGGAAGTAGCAGAGGAGATTAAAGACGACCCTCAACTCAACCGCCAGCAGATCTTCGACCAGGTGGGGTTCCTGCCTGGTATACGGCTGGTCACCCAGGTGGTCACCCAGGTGGTCACCCAGGTGGTCACCCAGGTGGTCACCCAGGTGGTCACCCAGGTGGTCACCCAGGTGGTCACCCAGGTGGTCACCCAGGTGGTCACCCAGGTGGTCACCCAGGTGGTCACCCAGGTGGTCACCCAGGTGGTCACCCAGGTGGTCACCCAGGTGGTCACCCAGGTGGTCACACAGGTGGTCACACAGGTGGTCGCACAGGTGGTCACCCAGGTGGTCACCCAGGTGGTCACCCAGGTGGTCACCCAGGTGGTCACACAGGTGGTCACACAGGTGGTCACACAGGTGGTCACACAGGTGGTCACACCGGTGGTCACACCGGTGGTCACACCGGTGGTCACGCAGGTGGTCACGCAGGTGGTCACGCAGGTGGTCACGCAGGTGGTCACGCAGGTGGTCACGCAGGTGGTCACGCAGGTGGTCACGCAGGTGGTCACGCAGGTGGTCACGCAGGTGGTCACGCAGGTGGTCTCGCAGGTGGTCTCGCAGGTGGTCTCGCAGGTGGTCTCGCAGGTGGTCTCGCAGGTGGTCACGCAGGTGGTCACGCAGGTGGTCACGCAGGTGGTCACACAGGTGGTCACGCAGGTGGTCACGCAGGTGGTCACGCAGGTGGTGGTCACGCAGGTGGTCACACAGGTGGTCACACAGGTGGTCTCGCAGGTGGTCTCGCAGGTGGTCTCGCAGGTGGTCTCGCAGGTGGTCTCGCAGGTGGTCACACAGGTGGTCACACAGGTGGTCACACAGGTGCACGCACACGCGTGGCCTATGTTGTGATGCGCTTCAGAAGCAGACTCCTCACACATGGTAGGATGCCTGGCATACAGGTGGTAACAACACCGGTGCAAACACACGCATGGTAACCCATTTTATGCATCTTCAACTGTTCTGACCTGTGTGCCTCTTCACTTGATTATCACCTCGTTCTTCGTATCTCCACTTATCTCTCTGTGCCTCCACCCCTCCACCTCATCCCCCCATCTGCCAGGTGTTGTTGCCAGTGGCCAGGGGCCTACCAGATGTGAGGGGGGTGTGCTTGATAGGGGTCCGAGAGGCGCTCCGTATGTTTCAAGCGCTCCGCACTGTGAGTGTTCGCTGCCCCTCCTCCTCCCTGCACTCTGTGAGCTTTCCTCCTCCGAAATGCTTCCCACGTAGTGTGTTTTTATTTCTAAGATGTGCAGAGTATGCATGTGACGGTGTAAAGCGCTGCTCTTTCTTTAATTCTACTTCATTTCAGCTGGTTTTCATTTCTATGATGTGCACAAATGATATGAAGTAGAATTCTCAAAAACCAACTGCTCACTACTCTCACGGGTGGCCCTACACTTGCTCTCCACTGCATGTCATTTGTGCAACCCGTCCCCCCTTCACCCTCCTTCCCATTCCGCTCACTGCTCACAGGTGGGCTTGCATGCATCGCACATGGTGCTGGAGGTACTGTTGGACTCAAGTGCGGCTAGGGGGACCTCCCGCGTGCCCTCCATGTAATGGGTGATATGCACCGCAACGACCTCCCCCCCGATCCCGTTCCCCCGTTCATGACTCCCTTCGTCTCTGCACAGGTGGGTGTGCATGCGTCCCGCATGGTGCTGGAAGCGCTGTTGGATTCTTGTGCGGCGATGGGAGACTTGCCCCGCGCCCTCCATGTAATGGACGACATGCATCGCAATGACCTGCCCCCCACCGTCTTCACGCTCTTCCGGTATGTTCTGCTGCTTGAGGTACGGCTATGGGTGACCTCCTACGTGCCCTCCACGTATTGGAGTGACATGCATCGCAATGGCCTTCCCCCTACCGTCTTCACACTCTTCCGGTGGTCTCCCTTGGTGCTGTTGCGACTCTCTGCACTGGGGCATTTGGGCATTGGGGCACTGGGCATAGGGGCACTGGGCATAGGGGCACTGGGCATAGGGGCACTGGGCATAGGGGCACTGGGCATAGGGGCACTGGGCATAGGGGCACTGGGCATAGGGGCACTGGGCATAGGGGCACTGGGCATAGGGGCACTGGGCATAGGGGCACTGGGCATAGGGGCACTGGGCATAGGGGCACTGGGCATAGGGGCACTGGGCATAGGGGCACTGGGCATAGGGGCACTGGGCATAGGGGCACTGGGCATAGGGGCACTGGGCATAGGGGCACTGGGCATTGGGGCACTGGGCATAGGGGCACTGGGCATAGGGGCACTGGGCATAGGGGCACTGGGCATTGGGGCACTGGGCATAGGGGCACTGGGCATAGGGGCACTGGGCATAGGGGCACTGGGCATAGGGGCACTGGGCATAGGGGCACTGGGCATAGGGGCACTGGGCATAGGGGCACTGGGCATTGGGGCACTGGGCATAGGGGCACTGGGCATAGGGGCACTGGGCATTGGGGCACTGGGCATAGGGGCACTGGGCATAGGGGCACTGGGCATAGGGGCATTGAGCCATTGGTGCTTTTCCTCTCAGATGCCTCCTTACCATGTGTCATGTTAAGCATATGCAAGATACATACTTCTCTCCCACACACCCTTTCCCCCCACCAGTCTCTTCCGAACAGCCATAACATCAGAGGATGAGGATGCTGCTTGCGCGGCGCTGCGCCAGATGTCGCCCTCTGATTTGTCGGATGAGGACGTGCAGCTGCTGGTGCTTAAAGCCCTCGAGCCCTTCATCCGGGCGGCGGCTGAAGGAGGGGAGGGGATGGCCCTGGCCAATGAGACGCTGCCACGTGTCAGGGAGGAGGCTTACGTGGCAATTTTGAGAGCCAATGCGCTCAAGATGAGGGGCTTGGTAGGGAGAGAAGGGGAGAGGGGTGGGACGTGGAGAGATAGAGGGGAGAAGGATGCAGGAGTGGGTGGGGAGATTTCTGAGATTCTGGCAAGGCAGCATTCTCGGCAGTCAAATGAAAACAGGACAGGAGAATCACCGTGAGCGTAGTTCAAAAAGAATATGCTGTGACAAGCTTTTTAACCCCCAGCACGTTCCAGGATTGGCACGAAGGAAGGAAGGCTCTAAAGAAGAGGAATCATCATGTCGTGCCATGTTACCGTACTTGAGTGACAGCCAATGTCTAGGTCTATTTTGGTGGTACCGCATCATACTTGCACACTAACACCAAGAGCAACCAATGGACACTGCATTACCCCTTGAGTGGGGTGGGGAGTCTCAGTCAGGACCTTGGGTCATGACAGCTTCTGTAGAAGCAGACCAAATGTGCAAACCTCCTGTGGACAACGTATCAATTTGTTCCTCCTCACCTATCCCACCCCCATCATCATAGAGCTACTCCTCGCCTCGCCTTTCCAAATCTCCCACCTCTTCCCCCCTTGCTCCATACTCTTCCCATATGAAGAGTGCATTCAAGTAACAATGCTCATGCAATGCTTCATATGAAGAGTGCATTCAAGTAACAGCGCTCCCTCGAGCTCATGCAATGCAACGCAAACAGGACAAGTCAGAGAGTCTTGGAAACAACTCGTTACAGAGGTGGTAACAAAAAAACATATGTACACATGTCCTATAGCTGTATCCTAACCTCTGAACTAGTCAGTATGTGTCTTAGGTAAACTACTACGAGCTCTACTATGCACAGCCGCACACAGGGAACACCCTGGCACGGAGTAAAAGCAACCCTAGATAAACGTAAACCGTTGCACGAGGTTTGCTGGCCACAAAACAGAGTCGCCAAGCCCTGTATACGGGCATGCAAGCAAGTCCCAGCGTTTGTTCTTGGTGACTCAGAAGCCCATGCCGCGCACGCCTTTAAATCAGGCATTCGAGGCATTCCTTTGTCGCCTTGCTGCTCCATATTTGAATTCAAGACAAGGGGGAACGGTGCGGAACGCCCTTCCGCCTGTGCGCGCGCCAGGGGGAGCCGGTGCTGCCTTCATGTTGATACGCCAGCGGCGGAGTCACAGGGGAGAACACCGGGGACGACGCGCCAACCAGCTCCGGATACCGCAGAGACTCCGCGCCATTCACCTTGCCGTAGCGCGCGCGCTTCCTCTCCTTCTCTCCGCCGCCCCTCCGCCAGTCCGCGGACACCCCCTCGTCCCCGTCCTCCTCCCCGCGCCCCTCGTCGCTCTCCCCCGAGCTCGCCGCGTCGTTATCTTCCATCAACAGAGGGGGCAATGTGCGCTTGCGCCACTCGTTCCGCCAATCGCTTCCCCCTTCCTTCCGCCGGTGCCCCGCCGACCACGTGCCTGAGTCGTCGTCCGATAACCCGTCCCCAGACCGCGCCGGCCGGTCAACGCCCGCGTTGGCCCCGAAATGCCCATGTCCCGCAGCCGGCCGCGCTGCGTGCTCCGCGGTGCCTCCCCCCCGCGGGCGCAATGTGAGCGCGGGGTCGTGGCGCAATGCGGCGAGCTTGCAGCCAATGGAGCAGTATCGGCTGGCGTCGAGCAATGTGCGGTGGCACGTGCGGCAGAAGAACGGCGCGCCTTTAACCACGCGAGACTGCGGCCGCGGATTAATAAAAACCACTTTCGCGCTGTTTATCACGTACACCTGAATGTGGTGCAGGTCTAGAAGTCGCGAGAGCTCGCCGACGCGCACGACGTCGTGGTACGACGAGCGGCGGATTTGCAGAATGTCGTGCTCTGGACCGGCGTGGTGTTTCTGCACGCAGAGCGAGCAGAGAGGGTCGCCGCGACATTTGATGCAGAAGAAGTTGCGCTCGGATTTGTGCGCCGCGGCGTGTTGGCGGCACGGAGAGAAGTAATGGCCGCTGAGGAGCTCTGGAACCCAGCTGGGGCACCTACTCGATGTTTTTATCTCCGCCATTGGCGCTAAGCTAGAACGGATGAACGAGCGAAATGCGGAAGAATGCTGTTAATTTCGAAGTGAGTGCTAAAATAAACTAGGCGCTGAATGCGAGGTAATGCGGTAGATTGGTAGGCCAGATATAGTAGAGCTGTTTCAAGAACTCACAGATGAAGAAACAAACCCTGCAACAGCAGATTTATCCAGCAGCACAGACTAGTAGGGTTTGACACTGGAGGAGGCAAGAGGAACGAGGAAGACATAGGATACAGCACAATGCACGTGACGTTTGGGGCCTGGACTTCTATGCTTCACAGAGGTCCCTTTTCTCATCCTTTCGCTGTGCCCCATGCACGCATACACTTCGCCATACACTCACACGTCTTGTCACCTCGTGCCCCAATTCGTGGCGTGCCCTCCCTGCTTCCCATTCCCATGTGCGCCAATTCGATTTCATGCGCCCACAGTGCCGAGTCGCGGTCACTTTCTTCGCTTCCACCTCACGCAATGGATTCTGCCCCTGGCGAAATGTTTTTTGCTGTGCGTGGAGGTGACGTCGACTGGAAGGGCCGGCGGAAACCACCACCAAAGTCTTCGTGACATCACTGACGGCTCGTGTCGTCTATTTCGCGAACCCTGGTTTCATTTCGCTTGGCCTGGCTTCGACAGACCCGAATGGCCAACCTCCCTTCCATCTGGATCTGTCTCGCACCTTCCGTCAGAAATGGACCTTCGCCGACCCTTCGGACCTGCACCGATTTTGGCTGCCCTGCGGCGCGTCAACCCACGCTGCAGCTGGTCACTGGAGGCCTGTCATTGGTCAGACGCGTGGCGCTGCGTCGGGAACCGGGAGAATGCTGGAATTCCCGTCAAAAGGCAGCTCAGCCAAATCTGTCACCGACACATTTTCAGCCCGCCAAAACGTATGGCGAGCGAGTCTACGGACTCCACGCCAAGTGGAGAATTCTAGGCGGATTTGCGCCATGCCGTCAGCACAGCTGGCTATTGGCCGAGGCGAGCCATGCACAAGACAGGCTGTTAGAAGCCTCAGAATTTGGCCACGAGATTCTCGAGACTTCCAAGACCCCCTTCTAGAGTAGGTGGCGGAACAGTCCTCGCTCAGAGCGGCTTCGGCTTTGATCACCACTTCAATTTTGAGATTCAACTTTCGCAAATACAGAAAGTAGAATACATAATTTCGTCGATCTCATTTTCCTACACCTCGAAGCATAGCACACCATCCTAATCCCCCGGACAAACCTTATCGCTCCCCTTCAGCGTGCTCTCTTATGCAGCGCAGAATGTCCGACAAGGTTACCACGCCTACAAGAATTCCTGACGAATCATCCGCAACCACCCACACTCGATGCACGCGCCCAGCAATCGCCTGGGACATAACCACGCCTAGCCGGGAATGCTCTCGGCAAGTAATCGGAACCATGGACCTCGCCTCGCACATGCGAGCGGGAGACGACGCCGGGGAGTTTGACGCAAGAGTAGCAAGGGCGGGGGGTGGGGCGTACGGGCTGAAAGCGGCGGAAATTCCGACGTCTTGAGCGACAGAAAGAGTGGCTAGGAAGTCACCAACGGTCAAACGGGGAAGTGCTGTGAGCGCTGCCTCCTCACTGCAGGCGCGCAGGTCGCTAGCGGACAACGTGCCCACCAGGCAACGTCCTTGGCCCTGGTGGCATGATGAGAAGGGGGTGGATGGGGGGGTGGGAAGGGAGGAGTGCACATAGTGGTGTGAGCTCTGCTTCCTCACTGCAGGCGCGCAGGATGCTGGCAGACAACGTGCCCACCACGCAACGCCCTTGGCCCTGGTGGCAAAATGAAGGTGGGGAGGGGGGGCGGAGATGAGGGAGGAGCGGTGGGTTCTGAGGGCAACATGAAAGGACAACGTGGTAATGAGGAAGTAGGTGTAGTAGGGGAAACAGATGCAGAGATGGGCAGCAGCAAAAGGGGTCAACAGTGGGTGGAGGCGTGCACAAGGTAGAAGTGATGCCAAGGGACAGTGCAGTGCAGTGCAGTGCAGTGCAGTGCAGTGCAGTGCAGTGCAGTGCAGCTAAGCTGGCATCATGAGCAAGCAGCACTTACAAGAAAGGTGAGCTTGGGGTCATCGAACACCTGCTGCATGCAGTGCAGCTAATGGCATCCAGCATGTTCTGAATCGACTCAAAAGCAAGCAGCACAGCACGTACAAAGGTGAGCATGGGGTCGTCGAGTTTGTCATCGGGCGTGGGCTCGAGCACGGCGACAGCAGCCACAGCCGCCTGCTGCATGCAGCGAATGGCGTCCAGCACCTTCATGCTCGCCGGCACCGCAAACACCGTCCCATGCACCGCCCCCGCCTCCTTCACTGACAGCTGCAGAAGCTCTGCTAGAGACTTGCCACTGCCCGTGGCAGCAGGGGGAGCGGAAGAGGAGGACGGTGTGGCAGTGGCGGTGGTGGAGCCGTTGCTGCTGGTGGACTTGAAGTGGTGGTGCTGCCCACCTGTCTCTGCCTGTGCTTCAGCTATCATGAACTTGATCAGATCCACCTGCGAGAGGAGGCGATAGGACAGGCCGGATACAGGCATGAATTGAATGCAGGCCACCTGACTCTGCATGAACTTGATCAGATCCACCTGCGAGAGAATGGCATGGTGCAAGCCGGACACAGGGTATGGCTTTGATCACCACGGCATCACTCTTCCTCTCCTTATAAGAACACATAGGGCAGAGAAACAGAAAACCAAAAAAGTCCTCATGTGTGAATATCCTCGATACATAACAGGCAAGAGAACGGGTATGAGTAGCCAAGTACATGAAAACAATTTTTCTCATGACAGTTCCCTTGATAGAAAGTTATTCGTTACCAGGTGAGAGAAGCGGCAGGAGGTTGACAATGCAATGCACCTGGTTCAGGATGGTGTAGGCGGGGGCACAGTCGGTGGTGAGGAGGCCGCGGGAGAAGCCGCCGTGAGTGGCCACGGAGAGCGGCACGATGGGGCCCGAGGGGGGGCGGTCCGCGGATGGCAGTGGCAGCAGCACCCGGTGCACGCCCTTGCTCATTGGCTCCAAGGAATCGAGCACTCTGGGGGAGGGGGAGGGGAGGAGGGGGGGAGTGGGTGAGAAGAGAACCTGCAACTACTAAACAAGCACCTCTACATGCAGCACCCGGTGCCCGCCCTTGCTCATTGGCTCCAAGGAATCGAGCACTCTGGGGGAGGGGGAGGGGAGGAGGGGGGGAGTGGGTGAGAAGAGAACCTGCAACTTCTAAACAAGCACCTCTACATGCAGCACCCGGTGCACGCCCTTGCTCATTGGCTCCAAGGAATCCAGCACTCTGGGGGAGGGGAGGAGGAACGGGGAAAGGGGAATGACAGATGGTCAGGAGTGGCCACGATTGGGCACGAGTGGAGTGGGCAGGAGGGAGCAGAAGGGGGCAGAAGGGTGGAGGAAGGGAGAGGTGGGTGCAGGAGAAGGGGGACGGGGCGCTTACGAGAGGTGGAAGGGGAGGGTCCAGCAGGAGAGGCCTTCAAGGCAGTGGCCAATGAGGGTGGAGATGGGCACGTCGAGCGCCCACGTGGGGTCGTCGCGCGCGGACGACTGCGCGAAGTGCATCAGCACGTCCAGCACGCTCACCATCCCGATGTACTGCCTCCGCGCCCTCCCCGCGCCCGCTCCCCCGCTCGCCCCCGCCCCCGCGCCCTTCTCCCCCGCTCCCCCGCGCTCCTCGCTCGCCTCTACCACCTCCGACCCGCCGGTCCCTGACCCTGCGCCCCCGCTTCCGCTTCCGCTTCCGCTGGTGCTGCCGTCGGTGACCATGATGGAGGAACCCCCCGCGCCCACCCACTCGTTGGGCGGAGCCCACACGGGCAGCGCGGAGATGCCGTGCATGCGCATCAGCTGCAGCGCATCGCGCACTGCCGCGCGGGGGAGAGGGGAAGGGGGGGAGGGGGGTGCGGGGAGCGGGGAGCGCAAGGGATTACTGGGAGTTGCGGGAAGACGGGTGACGGTGCGGAAGGAGGGAATGGCGGAGCGGAGTTAAGAAAATTTGCACGATAAACAAAGATACAGTAATGTCGCGCAATTAAGCGAGATGTGAAAACAACTGGGGAGGAAAAAAAAATAACGGTCACTTTTTGCAAACTCAAACCAGTCCGCATATGAGCATAAGATACCTGGTGCACTATGCGGCACGTCCACCATGATGCCTTTAGCGCGTACGAGCTCGCCCACCGCATGACTTTCAAGACATGCCTTTAACGACATGGCGAAGAGCGAAAGTGGAGTGATTGCGGAACGGTTGACGATACTTGGAACCAAAAAGATGACGAAACTCAGTCTAGATAGCCAAAGTTCTTCAAGACGAAGCTCCCGTTCTCATTAGCCGCGGCTGGTCATATCGAGCGGTCAGCTAGTTGCTGTCTTGAGTCACAAGCGCACCATCAATGGAATGTCAATTTCTAGGTTCTGCAGCTGATGGGATGGATGGAATGGAAGATCCTCACACAAGTGCATCAGTTGGTGATCTCAACATGTCGTCCAGGTGAAAATGGAACATAGAAATCAACTACGTATACGAGATTACAGCGTTTATTGGAATGGCTGGAGAGGAGTTTTGTGTTTGCAACGGGTCTTGTACTGCCGCGTTACGCAGGTGCGAGGAGCTGGCTCGCGAATGTCTGGTAACAATATTCTCGCCAGACTCGGCTACCATGCCACGTTGCACAGCTAGCCGCCCTCTCCATTTGCGAAACGACAAGGCAGGGAAATTCTGCTGCAAGACGAATCTTTCCTGCTTGTCTCCACTTTCGCAGGCAGTTTCCGTCGTTCGCGCCTTGGGATGATCGGCCTCGGGATTGCTGTGCTTCCCCCCTTCACCACTCTCATCATCCATCACAGCCGCAAATCCATTCTGCCAGCTGCCATTCTTTTCCTTCCACGCCTCCTTTTCGCACCAACTTCAAGGTGAAGTTTGGAAGAGAGCTCTACGTTCTGGGCTGGAGGATTGCATGAAAAGCCGTCTCACCTTCACAGAACCATTTCTTCAAAGATTTTTGACGGATTAGCGTGGAGGAGTGGCGTGAATCGTTCGTCAAAGCCTCGCCTCGGCTCGTCCGTTTTCAATGGCCAGCTTTGGCTTTCAGGCCCATCAATGGCCCATCACGCGCTGAATAGTCGTTGACAGTTTGTAGCGTTATGGCTTCTTGCAGAGCCTTCTAAATCCGCTCATTCGGCCTAAAAGCATAAATCTCTCTGAAAATCATTCTCGTCTGAGAGACCGCGAGCAATGTCAGATGGTGATGTCGAATCCGACGCGACAGCGGCGGGCGACAGCTTCTTCAACAGGGAAGGAAAGGGATTTCCCACTGCAGGACCTTCTCCCGAGCTATCGGCGTCATGGCCGAGCTTTCTTTTTTGGTCCTGGATCGCTCCGTTCATGCACTACGGCTACCGCAAAGTCGTGCAGGTAGCTCGTCCCTCTCACGTTCCCGGTTCACAACCTCCAGGATAACGATCAGTCACGTCACTAACCGTGATAGAAACAGATATAGGTCGCATGATTCGCGGTTAAATCCCGAGACGGCCGCGCAATTGCGTGAATCATGGTAGATCTCGTCCTCGCGTCCGTATGTCCCAAACCGCCGTTCTTATTTATTTGCGGAGTACGCCGTAGCTCGTCCTGATGAATCCAAACCTGTCGTCTATCTGAATTCGAACTTGCCGTTCGGCAGTATCTGGACCGAACCTGTCGTCGCGCTCAATCTTTCATCATGCTGCACCCGAACCTGACAGGAGGACGACTTGTACGAGCTAAACCCGGTGGAGTCGACGCAGCAGAGCGTGGACTGCTGGAACCGTGCATGGCAGACAGAGGTCGCCCTCGAGCAAGCACACGCGGAAAAGACGGGGCTGTCTCAGGGGGTTGAGGAGGGGAGGAAGCGCGGGAGGCGGAGGGTGTGGCGCGTGTGGCGGGTGCTGGCTCGTGCGTTCGGGCGGTACTACTTCGTGGCGGCCGTGTGGAAGCCCATCTGGCTCGCCGCCGTCTGCACCCAGGTGCGTGCGCCTGCTCAACTCTCATCGCAACGACAAAACGAGCAAAAGGGACACAAGCGCACCCAAGTGCGGCGTCTCTTGGTTCAGCTAAATCTCTCAAACGCTGGCTTGCCAGCTGTTGTGAGGCCAAGTGCCTTTTGTGATTCAAAAGCTACCCCTCTTGCCTGTTCCTCTCCATTATGCAGGTGTACGTGCTGAAGCAGCTGGTGGCAGCAGCAGCAGCGCCCGAACCGCCAGAGGCGTGGAGGGCGGCGCTGCTGGTGGTGGGCATGGCGGTGACGTCCACGCTGCAGAGCGTGTGCATGCACCACTGCTTCACTCGCTCCCAGAAGGCCGGCATGCGCGTGCGAGCATGCGTGTGCACGGTGGTATACCACAAGGTGTGTGCGTGTGCTGAGCATGATGGTATACCACACCACGAAGTGCATATGCGTGGTGGTATACCACAAGGTGTGTGCGTGTGCATGGTGGTATACCATAAGGTGCATGTGTGCACGTTAATCTGACCTGTGCGTTGGACAGCGTTTTTTACTGACATAATTGGAGAGTTAAAATAGATTGACACGTCCTGTTGGCATTTGATTTCTTGCACCTGGGTGGCATGTGCAGGCGTTGGGAATGAAGCAGGTGGCTCTGGGGGAGGCGACATCTGGGCGCATGCTGAACCTCATCACCAATGACACACAGAAGCTCCTAGATGCCATCACGTATTTCCACTATGGTACGCCACCACCCCTTCCCCTCTCCCCCGCCCATTCTTTCCCCACACCATTGTGACTGGCAGTGTTATACCTGACAGCCATATGCTTGCTACCAGTTCCTATCTCCGTATTTCCGTTTTAGAACACTGCTACATGTGTTTCCTCCTCCACCCCTCTCTCTCTGTTCTTCTTCCCCGTGTGCAGTGTGGCTGGCAGTGCTGGACCTGACAGTCATCTGTGCGTTGGTCATAGTGGAGGCGGGAGTGGCAGCACTGGGGGGCGTGGCAGTCGTGTTCCTCATCCAACCACTCATCGTGAGTCACGAGTCTGAATCATCAGCATGCTCTCTATACGACTCAGACTGTTCTCTTCATTGTGAATGAAGTGTCCCACTTGGGAATATAGCTGTGCTTCAGAGAGTTGCTTGCTTCCATGCCTGGCGTGCTGTGTGAAGGAGGTGGCTGTGCTGTGCAAATGAGCTCAGTCAATGCATAAGAAACGGACTGCCTCCTCGCTACCCCATGCACCAGGTGTGGATGGCGAAGAGAGTCGCAGCATTGAGGCCCAAGGCGCTCAAGTTCACGGATGCACGCGTGCGGCTGCTGGGGGAGGTGCTATCTGGCATGCGCGTGGTCAAGGTCAACGGCTGGACTGCTGCCTTTCTGGACCGCATTCGCGCACTACGAGACAACGAGCTACAGTGGCTGCGCCGGGCGGCGTACGTGCGATCAGTCAACTCCACACTCAAGGTTGGTCTCGTTTGGCCTGGCCTGGTTGGTGGGGTCGTGGGGTGCAACGCCTCTTTTCTTCTCGACCATCCCTCGCTGCCCTCCCATGACGCCCATGCCATCCCTCGCTTCCCTATCCACATTTGACGGCTATGTGGCTCTGCAACCTTTTCAGCTCTCCACACTCACATCTCCCCCATCCGCCACTCACTCCATCAGGACTCCGTCACACCCCTGGCATCGCTCGCCACCTTCGGAATCTACGTGGTTATAAACGGCGACCTGCCCCCTCAAACAGCCTTCGTGGTGCTGGCGCTGTTCAGCATCATGGTGCGCATCTTCTTCATCGCCCCCACCGCCCTCCCCTCTCCTCTTCCCGCTCTGCCTCTGTGCGCCAACCCCTCCACCAGGACTCCGTCACTCCTCTAGCGTCTCTAGCCACATTTGGCATCTACGTGGCGATAAACGGCGACCTGCCACCCCAGACGGCCTTTGCAGTGCTGGCGCTGTTCAGCATCATGGTGCGAATATTCTTCATCGCCCCCACCGGCCTCCAGTTCGCCGGGGAAGCCGTCGTCGCCGTTGATCGCCTGGAGAAGTTTCTCGCGCTGCCCGATGGGCAGGGCGGCTGCCCGGACGATAAGAGGGCGGAGGTGGGTGACAGTGGGAGGCAAGGGATGGATGGCAGTCAGAAAGGAAATACTTTTTCGAATCTCCTGTTTTGCGACTTAGATCTCTTCCTTGTGTCACTTATGTCCCAGTGATCCCCATACCGATCCGAAATTCTCAAAATCAATACCATGTGCAGTTGAGGCCAGAGGCAGAGAGCAAGGGCGTGGTTGTGGCGCTCCAAGACGCCTCCTTCTCCTGGCAGCTGCCGCCCACCACTGCCCAGCAGCTTCCCTCCCGCACAGAGCAGCAGCAGAAAGCAGAGGGGGGCAAGGGGAAAGGCGCCAGAGGTCTGTGGAGGAGAAGGCTTGGCGCTCAGAAAGCGCAGGAGAAGAGGAATGGAGCTGTTGGGAGCGTTCAGCCAGATTGCACGCAGGGAGAGGCCAAGGAAGGTGATGGCGAGGCAGGCAAAGAGAACGGCTTGCAGGAGGGTAGGCAGAATGAATTGGAAAAGGGGCAACAGCAGGAGGGAGAGGGGGTTGGTTCCTCGCTTGCTATGCCTGCTGCTTCTGCCGATGCTGTTGCTACGACAGCAGACGCTGCTGCTGCAGCAGGAGGGTTCCACCTGGAGCGAGTGACTATGCAAGTGGAGAGAGGCGCGGTAGTGGCCGTCACAGGGGCGGTGGGCAGCGGCAAGTCCTCCCTCCTGCAGGCAATACTAGAGGAGATGCAGTATGTGGGTGGCGCTATGTGGGTGAGCAGTCTGGGGAACGTGGCGTATGCAGCGCAGCAGCCGTGGATTTTGAATGCTACGGTCATGGAGAACATTCTTTTCGGGCAGCCCTTTGATGCGGGCAGGTACCAGGAGGTGGTGTGTGCCTGTGCGCTGGACCGAGACATCGCTGCCCTGGCCGCCGGGCACCAGACGGAAATCGTGAGTCGCTTTAGCTTAGTCTATTGTACAGCCTGAAATTCCTTGCTACATCTTGCTACCGCACTGCACCCCTTGCGCTCCAAAACGACCTCCTCAGTTCAGTTCCGTTGCTATTGAATCTCCAGATTGAGTTTGTGTTCCCTCCTCGTCCCCTCGTCCCTCGTCTCCCACCCACCTGTCAGGGCGAGAGGGGCATAAACCTGAGTGGCTGCCAGAAAGCATGGATATCCCTTGCCAGGGCGTGCTACAGCAGCGCCGCCCTTGTTCTCCTTTTGATGAAAATCCCCGCATCTCCCCCCCCCAACCCCTCACCCGTTCCCTCTTACCTGTCAGGGCGAGAGGGGCATCAACCTGAGTGGGGGGCAGAAGGCACGGATATCCCTCGCCAGAGCATGCTACAGCAGCGCCCCCCTTGTTCTCCTAGACGACCCTCTAGCCGCAGTGGATGTGCCTACAGCGAAGCACCTTATAGAGAACGTGCTTCAAGGAGGGGTCATGCAACGCGGTAACCGCACGGTCGTGCTCGTAACACACAACAGACGGTCGCTGGACGCGTTCTCTCAGGTGCTTCTGATGACACATGGGCGGCTGGGATTGGCCGGGAGCGCGGAGGAGCTAGCAGAGGTGGGGGCGATTAGCGGGAGGGAGATGAAACGAGTGAGGAGTGTTGAAGCCATGGCGGCGGCGGCTGCTGCTGCTGCTGTGGAAGCGGTGCCTTCAGCAAGATACGAGGGGCGAGGAGGATGGGAGAGCGGGGAAGGGGCAGGAGGAGGGGAGGTGTTGGGGGAGGTGGGGGGCGGGGAGGTGGTTCAAGGGGGAGGGGAGAATGAAGGGGGGGTTGGAGCAGGAGGTGCAGGCGAGAGCAGGGAGGGCGGGGCACGTGAAGGGCAAGAGGCAGAGGTTGTGGATGCGAGGCGGGGAGAGGAGGCGGAGACGCAAGGAGAGGAAGCGATGTTGCAGGATGGTGCCGTGAGGGAAGGGGAGAATAGGGTTGCTGATGGGATGGCCGATGGAGTGACTGATGGGGCGGATCATGGGCATAACGGGGTGACTGACGGGGCGTGTGGGGGAGAGAATGGGGCAGTGTTTGGGGAGGGGGATGGAAGGGAGCAGTCAGTGAAGTTGACAGATAGGCAGAGGGAGAAGCGGGCACAGTGGGGGCAGAGGAGCATGGGGCGTGTGACTATAAAGGAGGACAGAGTGGAGGGGCAGGTCACTCGCGCGACCTACTGTGCTTACATCAAGGCCGGAGGAGGGTGAGCACTTTACCCCTCTCTAACATTCCTTCTCCCCTTCTTGATGCGCCTTTCATCCCTTCCTTTGTTGCTCGCTGACTGTGAGCACTGCTCTCTGCAACACTGTACGATTCCATTGCATCGCCTTTCGCCCTCCACCTCTACCGAAACTCCCTCTGCAACTCCCTCAGTAGAGGTGCAGAGGGAGTTCCGGAGGGAGTTTCAACAGTGGGACCTGGTCCAATTTTCATCCTCATGACTTGCCCCTCGCCCCTCCCAGATTCGTGCTGTTTGCTGGGCTGCTGCTGGCCTTCATGGTGGCTCAGACAGTGCGCACCCTCGTGGACTACTGGCTGGGCGTCTGGGTCGACCACAAATACTCCCTCTCCTCAGGTGGGTCGACCACAAATACTCCCTCTCCTCAGGTGGGTCGACCACAAATACTCCCTCTCCTCAGGTGGGTCGACCACAAATACTCCCTCTCCTCAGGTGGGTCGACCACAAATACTCCCTCTCCTCAGGTGGGTCGACCACAAATACTCCCTCTCCTCAGGTGGGTCGACCACAAATACTCCCTCTCCTCAGGTGGGTCGACCACAAATACTCCCTCTCCTCAGGTGGGTCGACCACAAATACTCCCTCTCCTCAGGTGGGTCGACCACAAATACTCCCTCTCCTCAGGTGGGTCGACCACAAGTACTCCCTCTCCTCAGGTGGGTCGACCACAAGTACTCCCTCTCCTCAGGTGGGTCGACCACAAGTACTCCCTCTCCTCAGGTGGGTCGACCACAAATACTCCCTCTCCTCAGGTGGGTCGACCACAAATACTCCCTCTCCTCAGGTGGGTCGACCACAAATACTCCCTCTCCTCAGGTGGGTCGACCACAAATACTCCCTCTCCTCAGGTGGGTCGACCACAAATACTCCCTCTCCTCAGGTGGGTCGACCACAAATACTCCCTCTCCTCAGGTGCGTTTCAGGTGGATTCCAGGAGGGTTACAGGTGGAATCGACTGCAAGCACTCCCTCTCCTGAGGTGCGTTTCAGGTGGATTTCAGGGTGGAATCGACGACAAGTACTCCCTCTCGTCAGGTGCGTTCAAGTTATGGTGGCTTCCGGTTCAGATGGCTGTTTGAAACCCACTAACAAGCCACCCTCCCTCAACTCACACCCTCGCTCCCCCCCACCAAGCCTGTACGTGGGCATATATGCGGTGCTGACAGTGCGTGCCATGCCATCGTGCTGCCTACTCACTATCCACTCTACCCTCCCCAAACCCCTCCCCTCGCACCCCCAGCAGGCCTGTACGTGGGCATATATGCGGTGCTGACAGCGGGAGCCATCGTGCTGTCGCTGCTGCGGGCCTTCTGGTTCACCCATGCGGCCCTCGCTGCAGCGCGCCACATGCACCACCTCATGGCCGTGCACGTGCTGCGCTCCCCACTACTGTTCTTCGACCAGGTGGGCAGCAAGCGCAACACAATATGATGTCTGAAAGTTGCATTTCCCCATCCCTTGCATGTAATTCTATGCATTAATATGGTGATTTGAGTCGACTTTACTATGGTGATGATCCATAACGCCCCCTCTCAACTCTTCTCCCACCCCCCCACTCCCTCTCCCTGTGTGTCCCGTTCATCCTGTCAGAACCCACTACGGTTGATAATCGACTCAAAGTTGTCCCTGCGTGTGCGTGTTCCCTTCGTCCTGGCAGAACCCAGTGGGTCGAATCCTCAACCGATTCAGCAAGGACCAGTCTCTCGTGGACGATCTCCTCCCAACCACCGTTCAGGTATTCACCACGCGCTCTGCCACTGCCACCCACTGCTCTCCCTCTCCCAACCACTCCTCTCCTATCCCACCTGCCCTGCCAGCAATCTCGACACTTTTTGTAGCTGTAACAAACTATTACCTGCTTCATGCTTTTTCGCCAATTCTTTCCTATTTTCCCTCCACCCTCTTCAACCCCTTATTCAGCAAACCATGGAGCTATTTCTGGGGTGCGCGGGGGCCATAGCAGTCACGGCAGTGCTGGTGCCGTGGTTCCTCCTGGCGCTGCCGCCGCTGCTGGTGGTCTTCGCGCTGCTGCAGCGCCGCTATCTGCGTGTGTCCCGCGAGCTAAAGCGTATTGATGGCCTCTCGCGCTCGCCCATCTACGCTCACTTCGCTCAGAGCCTGCAGGTGGGTGGTGGTTGTAGCATCCAGGCAGGTGGTGTGGTGCTGGATTGTAGGCTGCTATCTGCGCGTCTCCCACGAGCTCAAGCGCATCGACTCAAAAGTCTTCTCCCACGAGCTCAAGCGCATCGACTCAAAAGTCTTCTCCCACGAGCTCAAGCGCATCGACTCAAAAGTCTTCTCCCACGAGCTCAAGCGCATCGACTCAAAAGTCTTCTCCCACGAGCTCAAGCGCATCAACTCAAAAGTCTTCTCCCACGAGCTCAAGCGCATCGACTCAAAAGTCTTCTCCCACGAGCTCAAGCGCATCGACGGCCTCTCGCGCTCGCCCATCTACGCTCACTTCGCTCAGAGCCTGCAGGTGTGTGGTGTGTGTCGAGTTGTAACCTGCAGGCAGGTGGTGTGGTGCTGGACTGTACGCCCCTATCTGCATGTCTCGCGCTCGCCCATCTACGCGCACTTCGCTCAGAGCCTGCAGGTGTGTGGGGTGTGCTGGCTGGGCTGTAACCTTCATGTGTGTGGTAGGCCGCTATCTGCGGGTCTCCCACGAGCTCAAGCACTTTGACGGCCTCTCGCCCATCTATGCTCACTTTGCACAGAGCCTGCAGGTGTGTGGTGTCTATTGAGTCATAGCCCTCAGGTGACTAGAACATTACTGAGAGACTGCAAGCATGCGGAGCCTTCCTGCAGCAGTTCACATGCCGTTCGTGCACGCCCCTTTTCTCTCTCTTTCGAATATCTATATCTCTCCTTCTCCCTCTCACACCAACCCACACACAGGGAGTGGTGTCAGTGCGAGCATACGGAGCTGCCCCCGCCTTCCTGCAGCACTTCATCGCACTGATAGACGCCAACCACCGCGCCTACATACAGTTCGTGCACTCCGGCCGGTGGCTCGGGATTCGGCTAGACCTCTGTGCCTCTGCGCTCGTGACACTTGTCGCCATCCTAGTGGTCGTTCTGCACGGCTCCCTGCCGGCCGGGTATGCTGGTGAGTGGTGGCTTGAACAGTAGTCGTTGTAACATGCAATGGGCAGTGGTGGGGGGGCAGTGGCTGACGGGCAGTGGCTGTGGGTAGTGGGCAGTGGGCAGTGGGGTGTATTCATACAGAGTACTGAGTATGGAGGCTCAGTTTTGAACATCAAGGCGTCCATAGAGGTTCAGAGGCATGCAAGGCATGTGGGAATGGGCAAGAGCATTGACTTGTGCAAACCACCACCCCCCTCTTTGTCGCACATGCAGCGGTGATTCTTTGGTGCAGAGCCTTGCAGCTGGCACACCTCTCCGAATACGCCATACTTGAGGCAGGATAAAATATTAGAGCTCCTCGAACCCTCACGTGCCTTCCCCCTCCTTTCCCCTCCTCCTCTCCTCCCCCAAACGTGTGATTCTGGTGCAAAGCCTGCAGCTGACAGGCCTCTTCCAGTACGCCATGCGGCAGGCAGCAGACAGCTCTGAAACCTTGCAAATTACATGTTCTCTCCCTTCTTTCGCCCTTGACCCTCCATCCCTTCTCCCTTCATTCCTTCCACCCCTCAGGTGTCATCCTCGTCCAGAGCCTGCAGCTGACAGGCCTCTTCCAGTACGCCATCCGGCAAGCAGCAGAGAGTGAGAACTACTTCACCTCAGTGGAGCGCATCCACGCCTTCATGCAGCTGCCCCCCTCCACTCCCCCTGCTTCCACTCCTTCCCCTCCAACAGGGGTGATTCTGGTGCAGTCCCTGCAACTTACCGGCCTGTTCCAGTATGCGATCAGACAAGCAGCAGAGAGTGAGAATTACTTCACCTCTGTGGAGCGCATCCATGCCTTCATGCAGCTGCCCTCCGAGGCCAGTCACCTCTCGCCACCTGGCACGCTGCCGCCCGCCTGGCCGGACAAGGGGCGAGTCGAGTTCTGCCACGTGTACATGGCTTATCGAGAGGACCTGCCTTATGCACTCAATGACCTCACCTTCACTGTGAGTACTTGACTGATTCCTCACTCCCCAGGTTTCGCCCGTCTTCCTCGCTCCTCTCATCTCTCCCGCTCATCCTCTTCACTCTCACACAATACCCTCTCCGCGTTGCATCCGGCCAACCTCATCCTGCCAGGTGATGGGCGGTGAGATGGTCGGCATTCTGGGGCGAACGGGGTCGGGCAAATCCAGCCTGGCAGCGGTGCTCTTCCGATTGGTAGAGAACAGCCGCAGCCGAGGCCACGTCAGCATCGACGGCCTGAATCTCACAGGCGTGGGGCTGGATGACCTCCGGCAGCGCCTCTCCATCATTCCCCAGGTATACGAACTCGCATGCTGTAACCTGCTTTGTCGTTCCTTCCACTCTCTGCTCGTTCGGCCTCCATGCATTGCACTCCCTCTGCCTCGTGAACTCTCAATCTCTCCTCCCTCTCTCACTTACCCCCCAGGACCCGGTGCTCTTCCAGGGCAGTGTGCGGCAGAATCTGGACCCCTTTGGGCACTACTCCGATGCCCACATGCAGGACGCCCTCTCTGCCCTCTCTGCACCGCCTGATAAACATTCCTCCTCTCCTCCCTAATCCCCCCAGGACCCGGTGCTCTTCCAGGGCAGTGTGAGGCAGAATCTGGACCCCTTTGGGCACTACTCCGATGCTGATATGCTGGATGCTCTCAGGCGCGCCCATCTCTCTCCTGCCACGTCGCATTCCAACCCCTCAGCACCGCCACCAACTCCTCCTCCCACTCCCAGCACTGGTGAAGCAGAATTGGAGGACAAGAGTAGCAACAGTGCAAGAGACGGGAATGGGTGTGTTTATGATTCGATTACGCTGCTCAGGGAATCCCCGTCTCACGCTGAGTCAGCTCCCACCACAAGGCTGCGTCCAGTGACTCTTGACATGGACGTGTCTGAAAACGGGGAGAATTTCAGTGTGGGGCAGAGGCAGCTTCTCTGTCTCGCACGCGCCTTGCTGCGGCAGTCCCGAGTGGTGGTGCTGGATGAAGCAACCGCAGCCGTTGATGGGGAAACCGACGCACTCGTCCAAGCTACAGTGCGCGAGCAGTTCGGTGCTGCAGGCATGCGAGCTACAGTGCTCACTATAGCGCATCGCATCGATACCGTTATTGATGCAGACAGGGTGTTGGTGCTTGCGCCTGGAGGTAGGGTTGCAGAGTTTGATACCCCGGCGAATTTGTTGCGCCAGGGGTTGAACGAGCGTGGTGTTAGAAGTGGAAAAGGGGGGTCGGTGTTTGCTAGTATGGTGGATAACGCCGGGCCTGTGGTGGCAGCTAAGCTGTACGAGGCAGCCATGGATGCAGAGAGGAGGAACAAACAAAATTGATGCTAAATTCGAAAGGAGATGCCCTACACTACACATTTGAAAGGTGCTTACTAAGCATTATTATCTGCAATTCACATTCTTTGAACACGTCAGCTTCACATCCTTAGCTCCATACAGGAAAATTTGTTTTTACCAATAAGAACACAAGAACTGGTGGAACCATCATAAACGAAGTGTCATGGTCAGCAGAAAAGAGTGCCTGGGCGAGAAGCAAGTTCGTCATAAAGTGTACAGTTGTACGGTACAAACACATTGGCTGACAGTTGCCATACAAGGTCAACTCTATCTTTCAGCTTTCAAGTGAAATATGCACAAGTACTGTATACATTCAAGAGTTCAGTAAACATAGCATGTTACAGAACATCTTCATGTCCTAGAGTATGTTGCTGCTACTCGGTAGGAGAGATGCCACTATGGCTGCTGCTAAGGCAAATCATCAAAGCATATAATAAGGTACCTGCAGAGCACAAAAGAAAGTGTTAGTATTCAGGCAGAAGATGTAAGCAGTAACTCTAGAGCAACCAAAGCGACTCACATGGATAAAACTGTCTTGGCCTGAAGATAATGGCTGCTGAAGGCATGGCGACAGGCTGCTGAAGGCATAGTGGCAGGCTGCTGAGGCATGGCCATCCTCCCCCACCACAGGGAGGACTGGTCTACCCTTGGAGGTCGCTAAACCCAAGGCATGCGGGAGCCCATTCTCACAGACAGAATCTGCCGATACAGAGCTGCTGCAGTCAGCTCTGTACCAACAGAATCAGCCTGTATGGCCCGGATCCGAGTCTTTAGACAACCCCAAGGGTCCCTCAGCACCATGCCTTCTCATGCCTTCATGCCATTTGCCATGCCACAGGTCGCCACCTCCAGGTCACCTGCAGGAGGACAAAAAGTTAGTCAGTTCTCAGACAGAGCATGCAAGAGCGTAGAAAGCGTTAAATTCAAGTGCTAAAAGGATTAAAACAATACCTTGAGAGACTTCAGATCCTCGAGTACTGGACGTCAATGATCATTGAGCATCTTCAGTTGTGACGTCTGTTAAAACTCCCCCATGTTGAAGAAACCTGCAGGATGAAAACGGAAATGTTAGTCAATGTGGCACAAAGTTAAGCTGCTAAAAGGATATAAACATTACCTTGAGAGACTTCAGATCCTTGAGTACTGGACGTCAGTGGTTGTTGAGCATCTTGAGTTGTAAGGTCTGTTGAAACTCCCATGTTGAAAAAACCTACAGGATGGAAACAAAAATTTAGTCAATGTGTCACAAAGTTAAGCTGCTAAAAGAATAAAAAAAATTACCTTGAGAAACTTCAGATCCTTGGGTACTGGACGTCAGTGGTTGTTGAGCATCTTGAGTTGTGAGGTCTGTTGAAACTCTCCCATGTTGAAGAACCTGCAGGATGAAAACGGAAATGTTAGTCAATGTGTCAGAAAATTAAGCTGACAAGCCTTACCTTAAGGGCCTTGATTCGCCTCATGCCTTAGGCCATAATTTCATGCCAGATGCCTCTTGCATCTGCCTCCAGGTTACCTGCAAGAGGACAAAACGAAGGTCAGTTTCCAGCCAGAATATGCAAGATTGGAGCAAGTATTGAAGTTAAATGCTTAAGACAATTGGAAACTTACACTGAGAAACTTCAGATGCTTGGCCGCTGAATGAAAGTGACTGTTGAGCACCTTGAAGTCGCTAAACCCAAGGCATGCGGGGACCCATTCTCATAGACTGAATTTGCTGATACAGAACTGCTGCAGTCAGCTCTGTACCAACAGAATCAGCCTGTATGGCCCGGATCCGAGTCTTTAGACAACTCCAAGGGTCCCTCAGCACCATGCCACTTGCAATGCCACAGGCTGCTGCCTCCAGGTTCCCTGCAGGAGGACAAAAAGATAAGTCAGTCCTCAGCCAGAGCATGCAAGAACGAAGAAAGCATTGACTTCAAGTGCTAAAAGGATAAAAACAGTACCTCGAGAGACTTCAGATCCTTGAGTACTGGACGTCACTGAGCGTTGCGCATGTCGAGTAGTGATTTCTGTTGAAACTCTCCCATGTTGAAGAACCTGCAGGATGAAAACGAAAATGTTAGTAAAATGTGTCACGAACTTAAGCTGCCAAGAGATTAAAGCCTTACCTTAAGGGCCTTAATCCGCATCATGCCTTAAGCCATCGCTTCATGGAAGATGCCTCTTGCATTCACATCCAGGTTTCCTGCAAGAGGACAAAACGAAGGTCAGCTTTCAACCAGAAAGTGCAAGGATGCAGCAAGTATAAAAATCCAAATGATAATATGATAGAAAACTTACGTTGAGGAACTTCAGATGTTTGACTGCTGAGTGTAAGTGACTGTTGAGCACCTTGAGTGTACATTGACATGTAGCCGGACCTGCGGGAAGAAAGCAAAAAGTTAGTTAATGTCCCCAAAACTTAATTTGCCAAAGGATTGAGGCCATACCTTGGGGGCCTGCGATCTTGGGATATGAAGTCTTGAAATCTTGGGATATGAAATCTTGAAATCTTGAGATCTCTAAGTGTTGACCATCCTGAGAGGTTGGCGTCCATTGAAGGCCTTGAATGATGAGGAATCTGCAAAGCGAATCAAGGGAGGAGAAGAAGGAGTGAATGAGTACAAGTGTCACTAGAATGTCCAGAGGAGCAAGTCATGTGTGTGAGCATGTTGGATGAGAAATGCAGCAGCATGAATGCAAGAGCGTTCACCATGACCACCACAAGAACCATAATACCAAAAAAAACCTTAAGAGACCTGAAATACCTTACCAAAAAAGGGGGAATAGCTCTGATGGTGGTAATAGTGAGCGCTCAAGCATAAACGCCATGCAATGTAAGGAGAAAATGTGATTCATGGCTTGAAATGAAATAGCAGAAACATGACAGAAAACAAGAGGAGAGCGGTACTTAGCTTTTCATAAAGTCTTGAGGGGTTGAGCAGAGTTGGCCTCAGAGCTCAAACACGAGTGGAAGAAGTCTTGATGTTGGCTCCAATCCAAGTGTTTGCTTCACGACTTCAACGTTGACTGGAAGTGTTGAAGCGCCTTGCAGATTCGATGCGGTTGATGAAGTTGACGAGCCTCTGCCAATCAAAGGAGGGAGGAGGGGGGGTAAGTACAAGTGGCACTGGAAGGTCCAGACGAGAAAGGCAAGCATTTGCATGATGAATGATATGTATGGATGCAGATGCATGCAGCAAAAGCGCTCACCACCACAGCCACAAGAACCAAGTACCAAAAGAATACCAGAAGAGAACCTAGGGACTCACCAGAAAAGGGTACCTTTAAAAACAAACCTGTACCTTCTAAGGGGGATGGTTCATGCAGCAATTGTGGTAAGCACTCAAGCATGATGCGCATGAAAAAGCATGACAAAGATGAGTAGAAATGGAGTTGAGCGGAACCAAGAGGGAAACGACACTTATCTGCACGAGGGTTTGCATGTCAAGTCTTGGTCGAAGCCTTCACTTGGTAGTTGTCTTGAAAGTCTTGGCTTGGAGGTTGTCTTATTGTCTTGCCTCCCAGCGTTGCCTTCGAGCTCATCCACATAGCCTTGTATTGTTGAATGCCAGCCGTGTTGCCTGGTTTGCTCCCAGTTAATTAGAAGCAACAGAGGAGTACCTGCCAGGAACAAAAAAAGAAGTCAGTTGAAGTAGCAAGAAGACGCCATCAAACGACAAAAGCGACGAAGTAACGTGGGGGAAGGGGGAATGTTTTCCAGCCAAAGCAACAACACCGCAGAGCTCAGACAGACCGACGCAGCTATGATTGACTTAGCGACGCTGACGCTAGACCGACCTAGAGAGACTAACCAGACCTAGGGGAGGAGACAGGGAGCTTTACGGCGGCGCTTTGGTTGGAAAACAAACAAACAGCACGAACGAAATTGAAAACGGAAAAGGAAAAACATTATAGTAGTGGAAGGAGCACTTAGCTGGAAACTTCAACAGCAGGCCGGTGAAGAACTCAGGATGGCGGAATTCCATGCACTTGAAAGCGAAGAAGGCTGGACGGTCGCATTGTCACCGTCGCGATGAATGCTGCAAGTTGACGACCGTCTTCATCATGGCTCACTGCACAATGAAAACGTAATCTGGTTCAGTACGAGTAATGTTGTGAAGCCACGAAATCATTGAGCTCGGTACTATACACGAAATTAAGATAAATGAAGCTTATATCTACCTTGAGAAATTGGGACGCTCAAGCAGCTTGTGGGTCTCCAACAGCTTCCGACTTGCAACGACATAAGCTGAAGGTCGTGAAGCTCGGACAGCGCAAGCAGGTCGCACTTTGAACCGACGGAGGTTCCATCCTTGAACGAGAAGACGAGTTACGCGGACAGAGGTTGAAGTCGGGGAGGCTGAAGAGCACAACGGAGAGAATTTGCGTTGCACTAGAGAAGCTTGAAGGTTGGAATGCGAGAGGATGAACTGTTGCTTTATAGATGTGTGGCTAACCACGGATTAAGAGACAAATGCATCGCCGACGAACCATTCCCACACGAAGTCGACACGGTTTCAAGCAGAGCGACCGTTGAAATTGGCGCGAGCGGCTTCTAAGGTATCACCTAGGAGGGCACCACCTTGGTTGAATATTGGCGGTGAGGTCTTGGAATCTAGTGAGAGAGAGGCTAATGAGGCACAGCGGGTGTCAGTGAGAGTTGGATGTTTGGAGTGGCTGTGTCAGGTCAGGACGACAATGCCGTGGGAGCTAGGGTTTGAGGATGGATGGAATGAAGTTGAGCTGTTTGGCGAATTCCGCGAAGTTCTGAGAAATCCAGGTTTCACACTTTTCGCACAAGCAGAAAACTTCGTCGAGCTGATTGGTGATGAAAGTTGGCCCAACAGTGAAGCATCATGCGATGCGATTGGTGCGACTACTTGCGCCGGTTTCCCGCAAAAACCACACGGGGGATGGCGTGCAGGAACGGCGCGCGGGGCGGTGAATGGGGTGCAGAAGGATCGCGAGCTGATTGGTGAAGAAAGTTGTGCGCTTCTGTGCAGGGATGGCGCGCGGGGCGAAGCGCACTGGGCTGCGCGGAGCGGAGTGCACAGCTCTGTACCGAAGCAGTGCGTGTACACCAGTCAATTTCTTCCAGGCCAAGAAACAATAAGGTATCACCAGAGCCCTACATTTCATTCAAGAGAACCGTGAACAAGGCTGTCGATTGGTTTGGAGCCAGAACTTGAGAGGCTGAGGTGCCCCAAAAGTTGCCCTGAAATTTACGGGCTGAGAGCAAACCTGGCACTTGAAATCGGGGCTACCAAGTTTTTTGCACTTTCGCTAAGGAAAACCTACATCTATTCGGGTCCGTTATCCTAGGCAAACTACTAAGAGCCAGCTAGGCAATAGGCTGAGGTACGAACCATGTCGATGGATTTGACGGGGATGGGAAAAGGAAGTAGTGGAGTAGCTGGGAGAGGCGGGGGGACTGGTGAGGGAATTGGAGGGAGGGAGGTATTAGGGTGGGACGATAAGGGCTAGCCGGGGGATCGGCACTTGAAATCCGAGTTAGGCCCACAACCAGCACTTTGCGGGGACGGGCTGCCCTCAAACCCAACCCTTAAACTTCGGAAACTGGGCCGAACCCAACCCTTAATGTTCAGGGCATTAAGGGCATTTGCCCTTGAATCTTCAGCCCTGACCGTGAACCCTATAGCAACGACTCCTCCTCCTGAGCAAAAGTACACTGGCGAGGATGCGTTCTCACACTTTCGGGACCTCTCAAGCTGTATTGAATGTTCCTGACTTCCTGCGTGGGAATCTGGACCCAGGCTACCGAAGCCTCTCTCATCCTTCAGCTTAGGAGGGTCTGCCTGCCCGCCCGAAAATCGGATACGAGAACACGGAACGCGCCCTCGCACCGACATCTCATCTCGTCCCTCCTCCCACCAACCCGACCCACACACCTCTACTGTCGCAGCTCGCAACTAGCATGTGATGTGATGGAAGGCGAGGCGTTCTTGTTTTGTGGTGGCGTCACACAGTCATTGCAGACCGTTCTTGTTGTGGCCCCATTTCCGCTCGCTCGCAAATCTTGGAACCAGAGGCTCTTTCGAAGCGCTGTTCACCGTCACCTCTCATTTCTTTCTGTACCCACCACAGTCTTCTTTGTCCTTGCGAGCCGTGCGTTACATTGCTTAGCTTCGATATCACGGCGTGGTAGGCTATCCCTCATCCTCTTCTGCTCCTACGCTACGCTGTATATGGTCGTTCTTTCGCCCTTGTCACGCACGTAAGCCGCACTGAACCATGGACGACCTTAGCTTCGCAGCGTTGTGCGACGACTTTTCGCAGCAGCCGTGCGGCGATTTTTTGCAGCAGCCGTGCGACCAGCTTAGTGCGAATCTAATGGACCTGCTGCAGCCGCCCGTTCTTCCGCAAACGTCGCTTGACGAATTCGACCCATCTTTTCAAAGAATCGACGGCTGGTCGTGGCCTGGGAACAATCTGGACGGTCCGCAGCAGCCCTGCGAGATGGATTTGGAGTTCGACGCCGCAATGGCTGCGCTGTTGGCGGAACCCGCGGTGAGAATCCCCTGCTCCGCGCAAGAACTCCGCGCACCTGTACCATCGGCGCAAACTGCTTCCGCGCAAGCCTCCGCGCCCGGCGCGGGCGCGTCTCCGGCAATTGGATGGCGCGCGCCCGCAGAAGTCCCCGCCGCAGCACCGAGTGCGGTTCTTTCGCCGAAGCCCGTCGCAACCGTGGCGGAAGCTTTTGCGCTGGCAGCCGCGGGCGCGGCGGGCGTGGCGCAAACGACGGAACCAACAGCCGCGCTGGCGGAAGCTGCGCCTCCCTTCACGGCCACGGCAGGCACTGCAAGCACAGGACTTCGCGATAACAGCAGTCTAGGGTCTGAAGCAGTCATGGTGCCGCCATCAGCGGAGTATATCAACGCGGAGTTGCTACTGACGATGCTGCTGCTGCAGCAGCAGCGCACTAATAGCCTCGCGGGGACGGAAGGTAGCAGTCTCGCGCAGGCAGTTGTTCTCCCCACAGCGACAAACGGCGGTGCTAACGGTCGTGTTACTGCCGGTCTGCATGGTGGCGGTGGCGGTGGCAGTGGCGCGCAGGCAGCTGTGCTTCCAGCGAACAACGACGCTACCTTCAATCGTCCTGCTGCTGCTATGCTTGGTGGTGGTGGTGGTGGCAATGGTGGCAGCAGCGGCAGCGTCGCTCTGCATCCGTTCGATGTCATGCTGGGAATGGACGGACAGGATCGCTCGGGAGGAGCAGGAGCAGGAGGAGCAGCAGCAGCTGCGCCAGCAGCCGCAGCAGCAGCAGCAGCAGACATGGCAACCGGAGCAGCTCAAGTGGATGGCACCGTATCGGATGCTGCAGTAACGAGGCTTCTGTTGGAGTGGATAGCGATGCAAGACATGAATGCGACGGGCACAGGCCCTGGAGGCCCCCCCTTGCAATTTCCCCACCGCCTCTCCTACCACCCTCTGCCCCAAAATATCATCAGAAATCCTTCCGCCCCATTTTCCCCATCCCTTCCCCCGGCCCCCGTGCCGCCCACTCCTGCCACTTTTCTTCCACGAGGCTCTCCGCCTATTCCCCTCCCCGCGCCGCCGCCTGCGCCCCAGGGCATTTCTGGCGGAACGAGTACTGGCGGGAGTGCTGGCGGAGCGGATACTGGCGGGAGTGCTGGCGGGGCATGTAGTGGCGAGATTGCTGGCGGAAGCTCTGCTGCAGCGACCATGGGTGCGGGGACGTCAGGAGGGGCGGGTGTGGTGTCAGCGGGGGCAGGAGAGGCGATGACGTTTGAGGCAGCGGCGCAGCAGCTGTTCCTCGCCACTGCGCCTGCTGCGCTGGGAGGGAGGCGGGGAGGGTGGGCGGACGAGGGGGGTGCAGCTGCGGCGAGGGCATCAGGGGTTGGAGAAGGAGCGTTGCCCTGTGCGTCTGTGGCCCTCTTGCAGGAAACTGCTGCTGGTGATGCTGATGATGGCGGTGATGCTGCCGCCGATGCTGATGGTGCTGCTGACGGAGTTGACTCTGGTGTTGGTGATGGTGTGGATCCCACAGGTTGTGCTGCTGCGGTGGAACTTCTGAGTCGACTCAAAAGTCAACTTGCTGATGGTGCTGCTGACGGAGTTGATTCTGGTGTTGGTGATATTGTGGATCCCACAGGTTGTGCTGCTGCGGTGGAAAGAGAGGAGGAGCAACGAGGGCGGGAGCGGAATATGGAGAGTAGCAATGGGCCAAGCGAGGGCAATCACCGTGGACAGGCGTTGCTACAGATGATCGAGGATATGGAGCAGCAGCAACAGCAACAGCAGCAGCAGCAGCAGCAGCAGCAGCAGCAGCAGCAACAACAAGAGCATGGGGCACAGTACGAGCAAGAGCGTGAAACGCAGCAGCAAGGGCATTGGCAACAGCAGCAGGAGAAGGGGGGGCTTGCGGCGTCGCTGGGGGGGTTGACGAGTGTGACAGTAACGAGGGCTCTGAGCGCGCTGGGTGTGGGGGAGAGCAGCAGCGGAGTGGTGCAGCAGGTGCGGAGGCTGCTGGAGGCACAGAGGGAGGAGGAGGAGCAGCAGCAGAACCAGCAGCAGAACCAGCAAGAGCAAGTGCAAGAGCACAAGCAACAGGAGCAGCTCTTACTGCGTTATTTAAAGCAACAAGTGCATCATCATCATCATCATCATCATCATCAGCAGCAGCAGCAGCAGCAGCAGCAGCAGCAGCAGCAGCAGCAGCAGCTGGCATCCAGCCAGGCAGTGACCCAGGCAAGTGTCGATGCGAGGCCGTACAACCCCATTCCAACCCCGGTACCGCTGCCCATAGACCAGGTGGGCGGGGTGAGAGGCCGGGACTGGGACCACCCGGGTGCATCCTCATCGCCCTTCAAGCAAGTGCGAGTGCATTCCCAGGCGCATTCTCAGGCGCATTCTCAGGTGAATTCCCAGGTGCAGCCTAGCAGGAGTAAGGCGTCCCTCCCCACGCAAGCTCGCCGCACCCCTGACCTGTCAGCACGACTGAAGGGGCTCCTAGGGGTGATAGGCTCGGGAATAGGTCCGGTAGTGGATGTAGCAGCAGGTACGCACGGTGCGGGTCAGGCAGCCGAAGCTGGGTGCACAGCAGAGGGAGGCGAAGATGCTTCTATGGAGGTGCAGGAGGGCGGGATGGGAGACGTGAATGTGACTGCAAGGGGGGGCGCAAGCTTTGCTAGCAGCACGGCTGCAGGACGGACGATTGGAGGCGGGTTCTTTGGTGCAAGTGCCAGCCTTGGTTTCCAGAGGGACTTTGGCTATGAGCGATGGAAGGAGCAGGTAAGGGTGCTGCTGGAAGGAAGTGGGAGGAACGGGGGGAAGCAGCAGCAGGAGCAGCAGTGGGGCCAGCAGGAGCAGTCGAATCAGCCGAAGCAGAGGCGCAAGCGAGGGGAGATGAGTGCGGAGCGGCAGCAGGAGGAGGAGAGGAGGCAGGAGAGGAAGCTTCTTCAGAAGATGCTGCAGGCTCTGCCTAAAAGGCAGGCGCACCAACGGCTGTTGCTGCAACAGCTTCCGCTGCGACAGCAGCTGCTGAAGCAGAGCAGCAGCAATACACAAAGTAGCGATGGCAGGCGCAACAGGACTGGCAGTAGTGCCCTCGAAGCACCTTCAAACGCCATTGCAAACCCCAGCCGGCCGCTGAAACCGGATGTTTCTGGGCTGCTTCCTGGCATGGTGGACGGCGGGAAGGAGAGGCACCTGTGGTCGCAGCTGTCAGCGCTGGCTGAAGCTCTCACCACCGACGATTCGGTACGTGACACAAGCCTCACCACCGATGATTTGGTAAGTGACACAAGCCTCACCACCGATGATTCGGTAAGTGACACAAGCCTCACCACCGATGATTCGGTAAGTGACACAAGCCTCACCACCGATGATTCGGTAAGTGACACAAGCCTCACCACCGATGATTCGGTAAGTGACACAAGCCTCACCACCGACGATTCGGTAAGTGACACAAGCCTCACCACCGATGATTTGGTAAGTGACACAAGCCTCACCACCGATTATTCGGTAAGTGACACAAGCCTCACCACCGATGATTCGGTAAGTGACACAAGCCTCACCACCGATGATTCGGTAAGTGACACAAGCCTCACCACCGATGATTCGGTAAGTGACACAAGCCTCACCACCGATGATTCGGTAAGTGACACAAGCCTCACCACCGATGATTCGGTACGTGACACAAGCCTCACCACCGATGATTCGGTAAGTGACACAAGCCTGGTGCTGAGCCGACACGCCTCTCCACAAGCCCACTGGGTGTGCTCGCACTACTTCATGCATCACTGCCACTGGTTGATTCATCCCGGATCACTCTCAACCAAACCCCTGCGCCCACCAGGTGCGGTGGCGGCACTTCATGCGGCAGGTACGGAGGGAGGCGGCAGCGGGGGGGGACACGCTGCAGCGCATCGCCTTCCACGCGCTGCAGGCGCTGCGGGCTCGCACCGATGGCACCGCCATCCAGCAGTTCAGTTGTGCCCGCGCTTGCTCTGCCGAGGTGATTATCACTCTCTATAGAGGACTCTTGAGTCAACTCAAAGTCGTGCTCCAGGCGTTGCAGGCTCGCACTGACGGCACCGCCATCCAGCAGGTCAATTGCGCCTGCACTTGCTCCGCCGAGGTGGGTAGTAATCATTCCTCAGCTCTCTACTGAGGTGTCTGCCCACGTGTGTTTTGGCGACGGCACCGCCATCCAGCACCAGCAGTTCGAATACCGTCGTGCTTGCTCCGCTGAGGTGAGTGTAACCCTCCTCAGGGATAATAGTTTGTCTTTCCACCAGTGCAGTGCCTTCTGCACGTCACGGCTTAGGGTAAGACTTGCTGTTTGCTGATATGCGCACGTGTGAGTGGTGAGCTCTGTTGGCACTGGCAGCTGTGTTCGGCTTTGAATCAGAGTGTCAAGAAGCTCTGTTTCTTCTTTTTGCCTTTTCTCGCTGTTACCAGGGTATCATGGAGCTGATGGGCCACGACAGTGCTTATAGCGTGCCATCCTTTATGGAGTACAACTATGCGGCACAGGTGCAAGAGATAACCCAAGCCTTCATAGAGTCTCCCGGTAATGCCGCTGCCTCACCAGCAACGGCACCAGAAGCAGCAGCAGCTACAGGAACTTCCGCAGCAGCAGCAAGGGATGCAGTAGGGGAGGCAGCTGCAGCAGAAGAGGAGGCAGGGAGTGCAGGGGCGAGCAGGAAGAGTCGGGTGCGGCGGCGGCGGCTGCACATCATATCGCTGGGTTTCTACCCTGGGCCCCAGTGGGTGAACATCCTCATGCGCCTCTCCGCTCACTTCTCCCAACTCACTGCCTTGCCGCCTGCCCATGCTGCTGCTGCTGCTGCGGCTGAAGCTGGTGCAGGTGAGGCCACGCCCAATTCCGAAACTGACACGAGAGCCAGCAGTGAGACTGGCACTGCGTCGGGCCCAGCCAGCACCAGCAGTGGGAAGGCTGGGAGCAGCAGCCAAGGCAGGAGTGAGGGTGAGCAGAGAGCGGGTGCGAGCATGTCCTCCTCTCCCTCCCCTGCCTCGTCCGCCACTCCCTTGGGTTCCCCACCCACCTCCACCAGAATATCTGCTCCTACCACTGCACCTCCCACTTCTCTTGCATCCTCTGCAGCACCGCCCTTCTCGCCTGCACCAAGAGGCACTACAGCTAGCCCCCCTGCTGCTCCCTCCCCTGCAGGAGACGCCAACACAGGCACCAGCACCCGGGGATGGGAGCGACCCTACCCATCGCCCCCCACCCCGCTGCTCAAGATCACAGCCGTCGATTTCTCCACAGTGAAGCTCTCATCTCAACGGTCAGGAATGGTCTATCTGGGCGGGCGGTACCTGGAGCAAGTAGCTCGGATGCTAGACATCCCCTTCACCTTCCAGGGGGTCGAAACCGCACCGGAGGATTTCCATCCGTCAATGGTGGAAGTGGAAGAAGGAGAGGAGGTAGTGGTGCTAGGCAAATGGTCTCTCCACCTCTTCCCAGACAACTCAGTCCTCCGATCAAACCCCAGAAACGCCATCCTCAAGTGGATTTATGACCTCTCTCCTCTCCTCTTTCTGCACGTCGATCTCGACGCGGATGCCAATGGGCCCTTCTTCCTCCCGCGCTTCCAGAACGCCGCGCGCAACTTCGCAGCGATCGTCGAGTCGCTGGACACAAACCTCCCGCACTCCGCGGCACCGCGGCAGGCCTGCGAGGCGTTTCTAGCGCACGACATGGTGAACAGCATCGCCTGCGAGGGCACACACCGGTGGCTGAGGACCGAGCGGCTGGAGCAGTGGAGGAAGAGGTTGGAGGCGGCAGGGTTCCAGCCGAAGCCGCTGCATGCGGACACGGTGAGTGCGATGCGGGCGGTGACGGAGGGGCGGGATAGGCGGTTTGAACTGAAGGTGGACGAGCGGTGGTTTGGAGCGTCGGCGGAGCTCAGGTGGCGAGGCACGCCCACTGTGTTTGTGGCCGCGTGGCACTGACTGGGGAAGGCAGGAGTGATACTTACCGTAGTCTGTAGAGTAATGCAGTGGGTGGTGGTGGTGGCCTCAGGCCTGGCCCTGGCTGGCTGGATGAAGGAGACAGGTGCTGGTAGCCACCAATATGGTAGGCATATGTTTTAGCTCTCGATAGTGAAGGCCCTGCCAATGTTGCAACTTGTTAGCCTTGTGTGCAGTCAACAATACTGAGATATGTTAGTAGTCATATATGACAAGGACTGTACATTTACTCGCCGAATTAGGGCAATGAACGTATTAGACACGGCCAGCAAGGCCAAACTCAAAACAAGTCTCGACCAAAGTTAGCAGCTCTGGTCCAAAAAGCCAAACCTAGTCACCCAGCGTTCAGGGTGAAGCTGGGTCCACGAGTCAGGGAGAGGGGTCACCCAGCCAAAGCCAGCAATGGCCACCATCCCCCAGTTAATGGCTCTCCACTTGCCGTTGCACAAATTCACAGCCACTGTGGCACCAGCTATGCAGTGAGTGGTGGAGAAGGCAGAGCGAGGAAGGAGCTATGATCACTGTGAGGGCGGCAAGGTGAAGCTGGGGCCACGAGTGAGAACCGCATAGAGCAGCCCAGCGGCAGTACCTGCCACAGGGAGAGTGATCACCCAGCCGAACCCAGCAATGGCCACCATGCCCCAGTTGATGGCTCTCCACTTGCCGTTGCACAGGCCTACAGCCACTGTGGCACCCACTATGCACTGAGTGGTGGAGACGGGTAGAGCAAGGAAGGAGGCGGTGAGGACGGCGAGGGCTGCACCTAGCTCCATGGAGAAACCGCGGGAGGGCGAGTGGTACGTGATGTTGTTGCCCAGGTTGCGCATTATGTTGTACCCGTCTGGATGGGTGGAAGGGAAGGGGGGGAGGAAGAGAGCTTCTATGAGGCGACTGAGAGATTTATGTTTGCGTGCAGTTTTGAGGTGCCTCAAGAAAAAAGGAGTAGTACGAGGTGTTGCTCAGGTTGCGCATTGTGCTGCACATGTCTCGATGGGTAGGGAGAGGTGGAAGTGGGGGCCAGGGAAGCGAGAGTGGACCAAGATGAGAGGAAGGTGCAATGAAGAGGAGTGTAGGGCCAAAGGTGATGGCAGATGTAGGCTAGGGCGAAAGGAGACAAGGAAGCAGGAGAGAACAGTTACAATGGTTGAGCAAGCATGGAGCAGGATATGCGGCAGGAAATGCAGAGGGGTATGCAGAACATGCAGGGGGAAACGCAGCAGGCTTACAAAGAGCAAGGCCGAGGTCAATCATTATCCCGGCATTGACCAGCATCCAGTATGGTATGCTGGCATGGGTGGAAAAGGTACCGGTCTCCCACAGCTGGTACACCCCTGCCAGGGGCCCCAGCGAGCCGGCAACATCATTCGAGCCGTGGGAGAAGCTCGCGAAGGATGCGGTAACCACCTGCAGCAGCGAGTACAGGTACTCTGTCTTGTTGTCGTACAGGACTGCCACCTCATGCGCGCGCACTGCACCACGGTTCCGCTGCTGCACTGACACGATGTCGATGAGGAGTGTGCGCAGCAGCAGCCATTTGATGTGGTGCGCGAGTCGCACGACGAGGCTTTTGTGCTGGGTTTTTTCCCGCTCCCACCGCTCCTCCTTGCGCTCCTCCTCCTCCTCCACAGGCATTCCGAGCTCTGTTCTTTCCTCGTCGTTCAGCAGCTGCGGGGTGAAGGTTCGTTTCAAGTACGTGTCGATCCTGGTGTCGTGCAGCTGCTCTGGCAGCCAGTGGATGCAGAACACGTGGTACCACCTGAGGCTCTCCTCCTTCTCCAGCCGTCGGATGAAGAACGGGACGAGGAATCCAACGGCGAAGACGAGAGTCGCACCTGTGATGGCCCCTGTGATGGCAAACGTCAGGCCAACGTTGCTGCTGTTATGGACACCCTCTTCACCCAAAAACCCCCACCGACTGTTTCGGGAGATGACGTAGAAACTGACGATGAAGCTGGTGATGGTGAAGTAGAAAGGAACGGCCCAGATTCCTGCTCGCAGAGAGTTTCTCCGATTCATGACAGCAAAGAGTGTGATCGTGTAAACCGCTGCTGCGAGGACGCCTGCTAGGCAAGGCGCTAGGACCCAAGATGTTGCGATCTGCGCCACGCCTCTACCCTCCCACCCCCAGTTCACGGCGTCCTTGCCGTACGCGCTAATGCCAACTCCGATAAGCGCACCGATTATGGAGTGTGTGGTAGAAAGAGGGAAGCCTAGAATAGACGCGGTCATGACCCATGTCGAGGACGCTATTAACGCGCACATGAAGCCTGACATTAAAAGGTCTGGCCGGCTGCTGAACATGTTGATATTGATAATGTCGTCCTTGACTGTTTTGGCCGTCGTAGCGCCAAGAGCGACCGCTCCTCCCAATTCAGTGAAGAAGGCGATGCAGATGGCTTGCTTGAGGGTGAGCGACCGCGATCCCACCGACGTGGCGAAGGAATTGGCGACGTCGTTCGTACCTGCGACAGTCGTTGCGACAATTGGAAAGCTGGCTCAAAATCGTCGCAGAAGAAGCGAGCGAAAGTGGTTACAAACAAACTTAAACAGCGACGCGTTGCATGCTTACCGATGGCATAGCCGTCCAGGAGGGAGAATATCAGCGTCACCACGAAGATCCACGTGTACGAATGGATGGGCATAACAACGGTCGCCATGACTACCGGCGGGTGACTGCTAGTTCGCAGGTTGAGCGTGAGAATATTGTCGTGTGACGCGCAGTCCTGCAAGTCCTGATAGTAAGAATAGAACTACAACCTGCAGCGGGAGCAGGTCATAGTTGCTTCTCAGCTTGCGATTTCTAGTCGCGGATTCAGAGATTGCATAATGACGCGAGCCTTGCACGACCAGCAGTTGTAGAAGTACAGTGAGAAATGGTAAACCGCAACTGAGATTGTATTTGCTAATCCGCAAAATGAGAGTTGGAGAAACGCGGTGTAACTCGTATAGCCAATACTTCTAGAACTTGCAGTGAGAGGAGCCTGAGTCTCCCGTCTGACCAACGGCACGACGATACAAAAGCGAGAACCATTCTCTAGGTAAAGACCACTTCACTATGTCGTATGATGGCAGCATTTCAGATACTTGTACAATGTATGCAGGGAGGTGGGGGTTGAGCAAGGAAGGAGGAGGAGCAGTTGGATATGGCTGAATCCGACTCATCAGCAGCAGCCAACGGTCACCCTGACAGACAACGAACAGCAGCCTTCGAGCTCACTCACTCACTCACCCCAGCAACCCACTCACAGACGCCATGGCAGAATTCCTCGAGACTGTCGCGTTGAGTTTCTGAATCTCGACAGCATTTCTCACATTGTTCTTATGGACAAAGAAAATTGGTGATGTGTACCCACCAAACATAAGAATCCCATCCCAGTGGTCTTTATCTTATCGAGCCCCACTGAACCCCGGCAAGAAGTCTCAAGGTTGATTGGTTGGTTGCACCCAGCCGCCCTCCAATCCCAGCAGAGCAGACCCACCTTCCCCTCCCCACACCACAGCGCCCAGCTGTTCATGTCATGTCATGACAGGCAGGTTTGCATCCTTGATACGGAAAATTACTCGTTCCGTTAAAGTCCTCATTTGCATATAAACGTGTAATTCCCTTATTTCTTCTCACCTCACAGTTATTCCAGCGCTAGCGCCAATTTTCCCACAGCATCCAGGCGCCACTGAATCAGCCTGAGGAGAGAGTACAGTGGGCACTGAGCGAGTTGGAGCCATTGCGGCTATTTCCCTCGCGAAGAGGAGCGCTTTGCAGACTGATATTGCAGAATTGTTCGTTCCTTCGCGTCAACGGTTTCCGTTTCGCTATAAACAGCTGCCATTTATTTGCCAAATAGGTTTGAAGCTTTGATCGGAAACCCATGATGAAAGACGCGTTGAAGAAGACGAAGGTGGTGGTGCGCAAACTACCGCCGAATCTTAAGGAGGAGTCATTCGTCGAGGCGCTTAATAAGAAATACCAAGGCCGCTACAACTGGATAATGTTCTACCCCGGAAAATCATCGTACGTTTCCATACTCACACACCCATATTTCACCCACTCTCCAGACCAATTTCCACATCCTCTCTTAGCCGGCTCCCCAGGTAGCCTCTTCTCCCATAATCTTCTCGGCCATATCAAAGCTGCTTACGCATCACCTCGCATCACCTCGTCGCAGGGCCAAGAAGGCGGCACTCTCAAGGGCGTACATCAACTTTCTCTCGCCGGAGGACGTCATCGGTTTCTCCTCCGACTTTCACGGCCACACCTTCGTCAATGAGAAGGGTAAGTCTCATGTCATGTGACAATGAATGCTCTTGTCTGATTTCATGGGACACGAGGAGAGGACATTTCTTCAAAATGGCATCAGAAGGAGACGACCTTTAAGTCCCAATGCGCAGGGGGATATTCGAAGGTTTTTTTAAATCAGTGTTGATTCAAGAAGTCTTTCAAGATTCAGGCTGGCTCTGTCAAGAGTATCTTAAACTTGGGTAAGTAGTTTCAGACGTCTGAATGCGCGCAATGTGTGTCAAGGCGACAGGCAGGCAGATCAGATGGCAGCAGCAACAGTGCAGAGTCCATCCGAAAAGCTCCCCTTGCAGCTACTGCAGTATGCTCTTTTGAAGGCCCTGCAAGGAGGACCATAGCATGTGAGCCAAGTATTCTCCGATTCTCTCCTTCCCTTCTTTTCTTTTCTGTGTTCCGCTCCCGCCTGTCACATCCACTCCTCCCCCCGGCTGGCACTGCAGGGCAGCAGTTCCAGGCAACAGTGGAGTACGCGCCATGGCAGAAAGTCCCCAGGGCGCCGCAGCGAAAGGACCCCAGGCAGGGGACTATAGACAAAGGTGACTTTCTAGCGAAAGTGACTCTAGTGAAGGATGTTTTGTAGGTATTATCATCAGGAACGTTGGAATTCGCATAAGTCAAGGATGTGCCATAATAAAGGTATTTTTGGGTTCATTCACTTCCAGAAAGCACTGGTATTGTCAAGATCTCGCCCATTCACTCTCTTTGATGCATACCCTCGTTCTGCCATTCCCTCTTCCCTCCGCCTCCCCATCCCCCCCGATTCCCCCCAGGCCCCGAATTCCAGGTCTGGACAGCACTAGACCAGGGGTTGCAATGCAGCGCCCTCGTTCCGTCGCACATCTCCCCCATCTCCCACCTCCCATCCCTTCTCCAGACCCCGAGTACGTGGCGTTCCTAGCAGCGTTGGAGCAGGGCGAGGAGAGCCTTCCGAGCGCAGAGGTGCAGCTGGAGAAGGCAGACGCTGCCAAGGCCGCTGCTGCAGGTGCGCGCTCTTTCATTAGCTGCTGCAGGTGCGTGTGCCATGCTCGCACTTCACTTGCCCCTCGTGCTGACGCCCCTTGTTGATTATGTGTGCTAGAGGCACACCAATGCCCCTATCCTCCACCCCCCCCCCCCCCCTTTCCCTCCTTTTCCCCTTCCCCCCTCCCCCAGGAGCCAAGGAGCCGCTAGTGCTGACGCCCCTGGTGGAGTATGTGTGCCAGAGGCGCGCCAATGCACGGACAGGCCCCCAGGCTCGTGTGGTTACCAGCAGACCCACTCGCCCTGTGGGCGCAGGGGGAGAGAGGGGGGCTGCGGGGAGGATGGGGGGAGGCGCAGGGGGAACGCATGCTCCCCCCGCTGCAGGGAGTGGGGCAGGCCGTGGGGGTGGGGGTGGGGGAGGGGGAGGGGGGAGTGGTGGTGGGGGTAAGGGGGGAGGCAGGGAAAGAGGTGCACGTGGAGGTGGGAGGAGTGGGGGAAGGGGCGGGGGAGGTGAGGGAGGTGGTAAAGGAGGGGGGGAGGCGGGCATACCTGGTGCAGCTGGTGCTTCAGTTGGTGCTTCAGGTGGTGCAAGGGAGAAGGCCGATTCAGCTGCTGTTACTTCTGCAGCACATGTAAGTCTAGCAGAGACAGGTTTTGCATAGACACATGTGCCATAGGATCCACCTGAATCAACACTTGAGAAGCACTTGATTTAACACCTGAACCAACAGCTGATAGATATCCTAAGAAACATCACCCCCTCACCTGTATGATCATCATCGCATGCCCCCGTGATAATCATCTCATGCGTCCCCTCAATGCTACCACACGCCCCTCATTACAGTCACGCTCGTCGCGCCGTCACGCGGCGGATCTGCGGCGCAAGAGAGGCGGCACCAACAGCAGCGACGCCCACAGAGACGCTCAGAGGGACGCTCGGGCCACTCCCTCCCCTTCCTCCCTCGCGCCTGCTGCTACAGCTGCAGTCGCCTCTGCTACAGCCGGTGCAGCTGTTACCAACACTGCAGCTGGGGGTGCGTCTGGCATTGTGGCAGCAGGCACTACAGGTGCGAGCACAACAGCAAGTGGTGCTGGTGGTGGTGACAGTGGTGCTGGTGCTGGCTCAATCCGCACAGTGCCGTCTGGCCGGGGTGCAGGGGTGAAGATTTTTACTCGGCAGCATGCACAGCCACATGTGCAGCAGCAGACTCAGCAGCAGCCGCAGCAGCAAAGGCAGTATGGGCGGGGAGGGGGCATGCAGGCGGCACAGCAGCAGGCACAGCAGCAGGCACAGCAGGCACAGCAGGCACAGCAGCAGGCACAGCAGGTTCGGCAGGCGCAAGGAGGGGCAGGAAGCGTGGCAGGTGAAGCAACAGCAGTTGCAAGCAAGGCTGAAACTCCTGCTGCTGCTGGCAGTGCAGCAGGAGCAGCGGGAGCAGCAGGGGCAGCAGGAGGAAGGGCAGGGACAGCAGGAGGAAGGGCAGGGACAGCAGCAGCTGGGGGAGGAGCAGAAAGGGAGGCAGCAAGGGAGGCGAGGGACAGCCGAGGCAGGCTGAAGAACCGGGACCGGCCCGATCGACCCGTGTGGACTCCCAGGCGACGCCCAGACGTGGGAGGGGGCGGTGCTGCTGGTGCAGGGCAGTCTGGGGGAGGTGGTACTGGTGATACTGCGGCTGCTTCTGCTACAGCTGGTGCTGCTACTGCATCTGCTGGCGTTGCAGCAGCCTCTGCAGCAGCTCCCTCCTCTGCTCCATCCATTCCTTCCGCCTCTGCAGCCCCTGGTGGTGCCGCATCGGCACGTGCAGCAGGGTCATCAGCAGCGCCAGCAGCAAGAGCTGCAGGGGCAGTAGGAGGAGGAGGAGCAGGAGGAGCAGCGGCAGCAGCAACGCCACTATCAGGAGCGAGTGAAGCAGCCGTGTCTGCTCTTCCCTCAGCTGCAGCAGGCACTGGTGCTGTGAGCAGAGGGGGTGGAGGGGCAGGGAGCTATGGTGGGAGAGGGAGGGGCGGCAGTGACTATGGCAGAGGAGGTATGCCCAAATTCGTTTAAAACAAGTACATTGATTCCGCAGCTCTCCCTTATTGTCGTCAGATTCTTTGTTCTGGCACTTGGTTTTACTCCCTCACATTGGACTGCATGCCTGTGTTTTTGTGTGCTGCTGCAGGGCGAGTGAGTGAGAGGGGGAGGGGGGGAGGGCGGCGGGGGGGGCATGGGGGAGGAGGGGGGAGGGGCTACAGTGGACCAGGCTCAGCAGGAAACGAAAGCCAGGTACCTGCCTGGCCCCCCTACCCCACCTCCTCCTCTTTGCCCTTCCCTCTCCCCGTCTTCTCCAACCGCCACCTGCTTCTCTCAATTTTCTTTTGTGACGAAACCCTTGCTTCCCTCGGCTTTGTTTTCCAGCCCTGAGTATGGCTTTCTCCCTTCACCCCCCACCTCCGCCCCCCTCTTCCTCCTCCCTTGCTTCCTGCCTTGTCTACTGTCCCTTCTGTTTTCGTCCAACCGCCATTGTTTCATTCCCTTCCAAGTCTGCTGTTGCACCTGCTTCTTGCTATGTCGATCCCTCTTTACCGCGGTTCCAACAGAGGCAGGTGTGGGTGGCAGTTCAAAAATCAAGCCAATCGGGTCAGTAATGGTGAATCAATGCTGTAGGATTGTGAGCTCTGGCTCGAGCAGATTTAGCTTGTGCTTCAGGATTTCATCAAATGCTCAGTCGGATGTTGCAAGTGTGCTGATTCGAAAATAGTAGTGGCCTACATTGGTCAATTGCTGTACATGGTGATATTGGGTATACAGCTGCTTGGTTCCTTAGCTTTGTCTTGCTGCCAGTACGATATTCTCTAGCCAATCACACAAATCATTCATGTTGGGCCCCAATCGTTTTATAGTACCAGTACTTTTTTCCTGCAGTAGTTCTTCTAGTTATTTGGTTGGTTCTGTTACGCCCCAGTTGTAGTGGAACATGGAAGGCAGAAACGCACCGTATGAAGGCAGAAAAGCAATATCCTGTTACAATGCATCAGCATATATGTGGCCATCATGCCTGGAGCATGTTAGCATTCACGTTCTGAATCTTTGGCCAATAACAATTGGAGACCTTACCACAACATCCCCAATGGTTTGCTGGCATATTTGTACCACAGAATAGGTATCAAGTTTAAAATGTTTTTGGATTACATTAAAAAAAATTGCAGAGAAAAACTCCCCACATGCTTTATCATTGGCGCAGCAGACAGCGCACTGTACTTCTGCTATCACGTGGGAAATTCCTATCCTGTCCCCCCCCCCCCCCCACAAGCATTTACTGCTCTTTGTTGAAGGTGTTGGGCATGATTTTCCTGGTTAGGCCGAGAATTGGAGACTCGCTTTTCTCAAGAGCATCGAAGGGAATGTAGTTCTTCTCCCTGTCAAATACATGGCACTCCACGAAGATGTTCTTCATCAGCCTCCAGTTCCACGTAGCCTCGTTCATGTACTGCACACAGCAGAAAGGGGAGGTGAGGAGAGAATTGAATTATGTAACAACTGGATTGGGGGGGTGAACAGGTAGACCCAAGTGCAAGACGTGAAGATGAAACCACTGTTGTACAAACACTGAGACGCCTGACAGACACCCACCTATGATAAAACAAGTTCAATACATTGTAAGTGGCTTCACAGGGACATTCATATTATTAACGACGCGTTGAGCTCACCTTGCCCCAGTGCTTCCTCAGAGCATCATTGGCCAGTCGCAAGTTGTAGGAGGGGATCTTCTGGGACACGTGGTGAGGGATGTGCACGTTGATGTCGTGGCACAGAATCTCGATCCTGCAAACCAGACCGATGGAAAAAAGGGGAGACAGATGAGCTTCGCCGTGCACATGCTCTATGTCAGCTCTTGACATTTCAATGATTATTTGCACCTCTGCAAAAGAAGGATTGCTACCGATTTCCACGTTTCCCGATAACTTTCTGGATACATCCACCAATTTCACATACCAGGACGGGTAGTCGCAGTGCACAGTGCCGCCGAGTTGAGCCTGAGCGGCATTCCACTCGGATTGCTTCTTGAAGGGGATGTGGGGAGCAGTGTGGTGCACCATGGTGAAGGTGCTCATCTGCAGTGCACAACACACCACGCAGCAGAGGTATAGAAAAATAAATTAACACAAGAATACCGTAAGTATCTGATTGACACTTGAAGGCAATCCAACAACCTTCACACTTCCTGCCCGAAAGACAGAATCGTATATAACCATCTTCAGGTGCCAGGGAAGGGGACTCACCCAGAAGTGGAAGCCGAGCCACGGCATGAGCCACATCTTGAACCAGCCGTCAATGCCAAAGTTGGCAATGATAAGGGGGAAGCCAATCACCGCGAAGGCACCAACAGCAGCGAGAGACACCTTGACACGTGGCAGCTCACTCGGCCGGAACTTCCCGAGGTCGAAGTGGTACACCAGCCTGCACACCAAGCCACCGTAGAAACAAATCTCATCCGACTTCCGAGACTGGCAGTTACCATGTGCTATTTAGTTCTATGTACAGGATAACAAGATTGGCCGGTGTAGCTCGTCGGAACTTGCGTTTAGTTTGGCTGCTTCAGAATATATTGCTAGGTTCTTTATCTTGCATGCCCCGCGCGTACCAGTGACCGATGGAGGCGAGGAATCGGAGGGGGCCCATGAAGGTCTGCATGAGCACGCGGCCAGTGGGGCTCATCCGCTTGTACATGCCCGGAATCATAGGATGCCACGCCGTGTCCTCAACCAGCCTGAACGGAAGAAACAACGCATGGTTACCAATATTCGGGTTATGTGGAAGTCGGGAATCGAGGAGTCGGAAAGCTGCGGTGATGGTTCCCGGTCATGAAACGGATTCAGCATTAGCCGGAAACGAAAACTGAAGTCTGGCTTGGAATCGTTGTCGAAGCGTTGACACAAAAATACATTCGCGGAACACGGAAAATAACGCTTACATGTTGGTCTTGGCGTGGTGGCGGTCGTGCTTGAATCTCCAGGGCTCGTACGGGTAGATGAGCGGCGCCATCATGACGGTTCCAACAATGTCCTCCACCAGCTTGTTCTTCGAAAAGGCCTTGTGCGCGCAGTCATGGCCCACCACGAAGAACTGCTCGGCAAACAAATCAGAACGATAAAACTTGTTTAGCACAGAACCGTGGTACAAAAACGTGAAGCAACACGGAGTCGGGGAACAATTATAAAACAGAACGAAACGGTAGACACTACTTGGCACTTACCCCGGTGAAGGCAGTGCCAGCCCAGGCCCACGCGAAAGGCAGAAGGTACCACGGCGAGTAGTAGATGAACACCTCTCCGATGGCCATCGCGGCAATTGTTAGAAAGACGGTCTTCCATGCCTTCCACTCGTTGATCTCAAAAGCCTGCAGACAGCCATGAAAGATTTTTAAAACAATCGTGTTCCACAACAACATGAAGCGTTCAGGTCATGGACGACGACCAAGGAGGTACAGAGGAACGATCACGAACAAATGCATCTGCTCATTCGCGACTTAAATTCTTGCGTTTTACCTCGGCCGGGATTGTATCGATGACTTGCTTCAGCGTGATGTCATCAGGCAACGGCTCGCCGATTTGTCGGAAGCCATACTCTTCCGCCAGTCTCTCCCGCTCTTGAGGATCGGAGAGGGGATTGGAGACGGGAGCGGCGACCGCGGCTGACGTCTTCACTAGCCGGCACGCCTGAGACTTCAAGCCGATGGAAGGCTTCCTCTGCATCACAAAAAGTTCCCAGAAGATAGATGAGACGACTAAGCTGGCGTATACGAACGAGCTTTTCTCCCGAGTTTTTCTCCCAAGTTTCCTCGCGTAAAACAACACAATGGTGGGGATGCCAGAGGAATAGTACCAGGTTGTGGGTGCGAGATCGAAGAGGCAGGAAGGGAGTGCTCTGCACAGCAACTGCAAGAACCAAACAAAACAGCCGTCAGCATAAGGCCGGGAAGAAAGGTAGTTGCTTCTCGTAGCGAAAAAGCGGATAAGAACAACGACAAAGTCTACTGACCTGGGCTTCCCAGCTTGAGAGCGTCATTGGCCTGCACCCGGGGGATAAGGGGCACGTGGAGACGAGGAGCTCGTTAGAACCAAGTGGCTGATAAATACTAGCCGATCACTATGCATTGCTTGAAATCCCCATTCACACACCTTGGCAACGAAGGCCGCGCGAGACGCCATCGAGAGGGAGACTGAGGCCGCCATCACGGAGTGCTACAAGTGGCAGCTACAATCCCAGAGCTGTTTCAGACGCTAGTGAACTCCGCTTCCTTGATCACAACTCAAGGGATCACAGATGAGCTTGGAGAAGACTGGTTGTGTTCTTATGAATCAGAACGATGAACCCCACGCAACAACACCCAGCACAGCAGCAAGTTAGTTTCCCAGACACAGTTCGGTTCAAAACGGTCATAATTGGTTCAGAAAGGAATATGGCTTTGATTAGCAGGAAGCTATGGAGGGTGGAGGTTGGGATGTGTGGGAAGAATTTCCGAGGGTGTTTCGGAGGGGCCCGATGTGGCTGATTCGACGAATGATTGGATGAAGGAAGCACAAGAGGTGGTTTCGGGCAGGTGAATGGTGAAGCTGCCCGGGAAGCCCGCCACACAGAGGCGTTCGACGCTCGTGTGGAATGGTTGGTTCAAAGCCTCTTGTTACAGTATGTGCTGGAAATCGCTCGGATTCTCACGTGGCGCCTTGGCGAGCTGGCGTCAACTAGATTTTGGCTCCAAGAATCCCGCAAAATGGGAGTGCAACCGACATCGCAGACCAAGTGTTGCGAGTTCTAGGGTTACCCCAGAGGCTCGCTTGGATTGCGAAAAGTGGGCGAGGTAACGAGGAGCGAAAAGTGCTGTGAGCCTGACTTTGTTGGATGGACTTCGTCGGTGGACAATTTCACGACGTCCACATGATAACGGATGACGTTGCGCGCCCAAAAAGGAATGCAGCGCGCTGACGTGCCATTTATCAACAACCACTAATTCCCCTCAAACGGAGGTTTGACAGACAAGTAGCTACTTGTCCAATCGGATCACACGGCTGGTGCAAAAGTGCACTTATTTGAAAAAACACTCCTTACAGGCGTTCGCCTGTAACTTCACAAACAGAAGTTACAGGCGGAGAGCAGAATAACAGAATAACTTCACTCTTGTGTCGCCGGGTATGACAAACAGAATAACTTCACTCTTACTACCAGGTGGAGAGCAGCCTTGTAGGCGAAAAAATGCATGGAATTCAACCTCGTTCACTCAGTTAGCTTGGTGTAAGACACAGTGCACGACACATAATATGGTCCTGCACAAGTAATCACTCCGAGCCGGCATTATTTGAGCCCCCTTATTTTGGTACACATTCGTTAATGTGAAGCCCCAACTCGAAGTGATGATCCTATGTTAGAACGATGTCATCTGGATTAGTATAGTGCCTCCTGCCTGTGCTCCGAGCTGCTTCCACAGCCACTTCCCCGCCTGTGCTTCAGCCCAAAATGCAGGAAGTGTGTTAGAAATCTTCAAGCTGCACTCCCTTCGTTTAGGCCCTTGGATTGTACTTCATCACAGCAACATGTGGCATCATTACAGATCCCACCCAGAGTGTGCCATTCCGCTCCTCCACTTCACTCACAGCCTTGACAGCGCGTCCCATGTGATCCTCCAAAACGTCTGTGATTCGTCCATCACCATCCACCTCCACCACCAGGCCATGTGGCCACCCGACCATAACGCCATAGATGATTTTGATGTCAACTGGAAGCGACATGACGAAACTCCTCAGCCATGGTCGTGGGGCGAAGTAATCTGCAAGGGGAATCCGCAAAAGGAATACATTAATCCTTGATTGAAGGCAAGCAAGGAATAGTAGGCATCTCAGGATTCACGATACTTACCAATAAGGGGGCGCCTCCTCGAATGCATGGCTACCCAGAATCGTCCGCGCGGGTTTAGTCTGATGTTGTCTGGCGAGCCGGGTAGGTCAACGAGCACCTCCTGAGTCCCCTCCTTCGGACCCTTCAACCAGTAACGGCTGCACCTGCAAAATCGATAAGAAAAAGGACATAGTGACAAAGCTTGTAAGCACCATTTTTGCAAACGACAGGGTGCGATATCATGCTTGTGGTCCGTACAGCGGAGATAACAGCGAATACCATAAGCTTACCTGAAAAGGACTGTCTCGCAGAAAACAAGGAACGACTTGTCCTCAGAAAGCGCAAGGCCGTTGGGGAAGACGAGATTGCGGAGTAACACAGTAACCCGACGTGTAGCAAGATCCACTTTCATCAGGCGACCGTCAGCTTGGCCTTCGGTGGTCGCCACGACAAAGTCCCGTCTTTGGTGCCGTGTGCTCGAATCAGTAAAATACACTGTTCCATTTTCGTTATCCGCGTCAATAGCCACGTCATTCGCAAACCTCAGCTTTCGACCCTCCACGTGATCCACGACAACTCGAGCCTTCCCGCCCTTCTTCCCAACCTTGTAAATGCCGAAGTAGGCGTCCGCGAAAAAAAGCTCGCCAGTTACTGGATGAAATCGTAACCCCAACGGACGGCCACAAATGTGCTCCGTGGCTAGCTTCGGTCCGACTCGTCCCTTAACCGCGCTGCCTATAGAGGGGGCGGAGGCAATACTGCTGGATCCAACCGATCTACTATCGAGTTCCTGGAAAAGCCCGCTGATGGGGCCCACGCTATAGTTCGCATGGTTAAGCGAGCCGTTGAGCGACGAACGGGTATGGATGTTGGACGCGTCGGCAGACGCCTCGACGGCTCCAGATAGATATGCGAGGGCGGAGGCGAATGGAGAGGGTTGCACTGGTGCGACGGGATCGCACAGTTTGGACGACCTGCGGGAGAGGGATTACGAAGGCTAAACATCAGTTTTACGATAAGACAAGGGGGCGTGACGTGATACAGAACTGATGGCCCCATTGCGAGAGTGGGTCGTGCCACGTACTAATGGAAAACAAAATGCAAACGCTTACCAGTGCGGCGACGCGTGTGCGAAGGTTTCCCATCCACTATCGTCCAGTGATCGTCGGACGATTCGCCCGTCGCTGACACCAGCGTACGGTCCTCGTCCCTCAAGGTCCCACGCCAGGCTTTCCGGGCCAAACACCTCGCCCGCGTATCTGCGCACCCAACATCGCAGATGGCATTGAAGAGACAACCTGAATAACAGCCTACCCCACCTAACTACACAGGCGATGTCACTAAGGCCATTGGAAATGCGCGGCGGCGATGAGCAGGCGCGCGACGGGAACCGATGTGAGGCTTGCAGCGGAACGAGGAAAGGCACCTGATATGAGCATTGGCGAGACGATTTGACTGGTCCGAGGGAATGGGTAGTCGACGCGGTGATAAGGGAATCGGCGCTGCGTGGAAGGGGAGATTGGCTATGGGTCGAAGTCGGAGCGGGTCTGTGACGAGGAAGACGAAAAAGGTGAATGCGAGCGAGAAGAAGGAAACGCGAATAGGAGATGATGGTTGCTGGTAAGCCGCTGCTGTGGCGGCCATTGCAGCTGCGACCATGCTTTTCAAAAATCTGGTGAAATCGCTGATCTGACAGGGGTGTGCGACGGCACCAAGATAGACTTGGAGTTTCGATGATAAGCGACGTGACTGATTGCGACGATGACCGACACGGTGGATTGGGGAGCTGCGACGGTGAACGACTAGAACTGACTGGGAGAATTCGAAAAAGAGGGGCTACCGATAATTACGGAGCTCGGAGTTCGGTCGAGATATTGAATGAATGCGACGATGGATAGAGTTGTAAATTTTGGTGAGGGCAGGAAGCAACGCGGGTTGCCGTCGTTGCGACTGCTGACGTGCAGTGCGACTCAGAAAAACATCGCTCTGCTCTTGAGGCGCGGAGCAGTGTGTTGAAAGCTGGATGCGGCTCGTTCGCAAACACGTCGCCCTCCAATCGCACTTGGTCGGCTGGTCCTCAAAATCATTCATCGATGGCTTAGGCCAAGCAAGTGGCTTGCGAAGCTTCTTGCGACAACTGGGGGAGGAGTTTTTCTCGCAACAAATCCACCAGGTAAAAACAGTGTCGCTGGGCGGAGAAGCTACCTTGGGTATGCGAAAGGCGTGTGACGGAGTGTCAGAGCAACACAACCATTCTGACAACAACATGAATTTCTGTCGCACGTCTTCGTTCAGGCTTTGCGACAGCAAATAGTGCTTCGCGTGGCTGGATACAGCACCTGTCGTCATGTGCCGTTGCGGCTCGTGGAGGTTGGAAGTAGTTTTGACTGGGCATCATTGCTTGGCAAGAAGGTACTTTACAGCTTCAACACTTGATAATTAACATATCGTATAACTAAAGTTGAAATGCTCTCTGGTTGATTGTGCTTGTCCCCGTTGGACGTGGATAATCTAGCATGCCAACATGAGGCACCACGACGGACCCCAACCAGAGCTTCCCATCTCTTTCTTCCACTTCACTCACGGACCTCACAGCACTTCCCAACCTGTCTTCTAGCACGTCTGTTATAGTGCCGTTTTCATCCACCTCCACAATAATCCCATTTGGTCGGCCCACAGACAGACGATGGGCTGTGCTGATGCTGATTGGCAGTGAGAGGAAGAGGGAGCGCAGCCAAGGCTTATGAGCCACCATGTCTGTCAAGGTAGAGGGAGATACAAGCACAATGGAAGAGAAAAAAAGAGGAGAGGCAATCAACGCCGAACCAACGTGTCAATCATATACAGCAAATTCCTTCAAAAATCAGTACGATGAAGAGAAACACAGGGTAAAGAAGGCATAAAGTGCTCAATGAGACACACAATCACAAGCATCACTCATCCATGACTGCCCATTCAAGCCATTACCGAATAAAACCATACGATAACCGCACCACATGATTACTGCACCACATTATCACTGCACCACATGATCACCGCACCACATGATCACCGCACCACATGATCACCGCACCACATTATCACCGCACCACATTATCACCGCACCACATTATCACCGCACCACATTATCACCGCACCACATGATATTCACACCACACGATCACACCATCACCCACCCAGCAGGAACTTTCTTCGCGAATGGACGGCTATCCAAAACCGGCCGCGAGGATTCAGGCGAACATTGTCGGGCATGCCGGGCAGATCAACAAAAACTTCACGAGTCCCTGCCTTTGGACCCCTCAGCCAATAACGATGGCACCTACGAGGGGAGCATGGACATATAAACAATAGATGTGTAATACACTGTCATCGAGAGTAAGCACAGGGGTGTAAAGAATTCCATGCTGCCGTTTGCGCAGTGTTGCTACATGGTACATGCATGAGTTAACAAGAAGCCTGGGCACTTACCCAGGGGTGAACGTTTCAGTTTCACAAGACATGGGGACAGCTTTATCTCTAGAGAGCACAACCTCAACGCTTTTGCGATGATTCCGACAAACAAGTTACCTTAGGCGCCTTAAAATTTGAGATGGCTCAGAGATCCACTTACCTCAGAGTGGTGGTTTCGCAGAACACGAGTAAGGACTTGTCGCTTGAGAGCGCGGCGGCGTTGACAAACGCAGGCCCATCCACCAGCACTCCCGCCCGGGCCGTCGCTTTTGAAGTGCCAGAAAGACCGTTTACCTCAGAGTGGTGGTTTCGCAGAATACGAGGAACGACTTGTCTCTTGAGAGAGCGACACCGTTGGCAAATGCAAGCCCAACCACCAGCACTGCCGCCTGGCCCGTGGTCAGGTCCACCTGCAGCAGCCGCCCGTCCGCCCGCCCCTCCACTATCGCCACGTAGTAGTCCCTATGGCAGGCGAGGACAGCGAGAGATGGAGGCAGGGGAAGGAGAGGGATGGAATGGGGGGGAGAGAGGTAGGTCCACCTGCACCAGCCGCCCGTCTCCCTGCCCTCCACTATCGCTAGACCCTGTGGTGGTGAGTGGGGGAGACAGAATGAGTTGGAGGCAGGAGAGTGAGAGGGATGGAAATGGAATGGGATGGCAAGAAGCAGGTCTACTGGAACCAGCCTCCTGCTCTCCACTATCGCCACGTAGCAGTCCCGGGCGCAATGGAGGCAGGGGAAGGAGAGGAATGGGATGGGATGGGGTGGAATGGGATTGGATGGCATGGGATGGGATGGGATGGGATGGGATGGGATGGCATGGGATGGTGAGAGGCAGGACCACCTGTATCAGCCGCCCATTTGCCCTGCTCCTGCACAATCAGCCGCCCTCATCTCCTGTCTCACCAGCGATGGAAGCATTCGCCCCACTTCCGCCTCACCCAATCATCTCTCCCATCTCACCCGCACTGTTACTGCTTGCTCGTGTCCGACCCCCTTCTCTCTACCCTTCGTCTCACCGTTGCTGGAAGCGAGGGCTGGTGCCCCTCTTCACTTCACGAAATCACCCCTCTTTTGTCTTACCGGCGGTGGAAGCGAGTGCTGGTGTCGGTGAAATAGAGAGTGCCATTCTCGTCGCTGGCGGCAATATCAAGGTCGTTGGCGAACAGCAGCGGGCGGCCGTCCACGCGCGTCACCACAGGCTGCGCCAGCCCGCCCTGCCGCCCCACCTTGAACACGCCAAAGTACGCATCCGCGAAGAACAGCTCCCCCGTCACCGGGTGGAACCGCAGCCCCAGCGGCCGCCCGCATATGTGCTCCATAGAGGGGTTTGGGAGGGCTTGCTGGGATTGCTGCACCTGCTGCTCCTGCTGGGATTTCTGAGCCTGATGGGAATTTTGGGCCTGATGGGATTGCTGAGATTGCTGGATTTGCTGGGACAGTTGGTTCTGTTGTGATGACTCTACATTGGCAGCCTGTGCGGCAGGAGAGGCGGCGGTGTTTTGAGTCTCTTCTGAAGGTACGTCTGGGGAAGAGTGGTTCCCAGCAGGACCTTCCAACGAGCCTGGCACCGAGCCTAGCACCGAGCCTGGCACCGAGCCTTGAACGGTGGTTCGGATGTGAGGCTGCACGAGAGAAACGTCGCTGGGAAACACGCCGAACGCGGTCGCCACTCTCTCCGAGGCTGGCAGCGTCGCTGCTGCTGCCGCCGCGTGCCTCCTTTCCATTGGTCCGAGCTCCTGCGACGTGGCAGAGCTGCTGCTGAAGCGCCGAGGGGCGTGCGTGTCACAGAGATCGGGCGTCCTGGAGCAGATAGAATAGAGGTGGGGAGAGGAGCGCGGCGTGGAACGGGAGCGAAGAGGCAAAACTGAGGTATGTCGGAATGAGAACAGCTCAGGAGTCCTGGCGCGGTTAGGATGGAGGTGGGGGGGGGGGGGTGGGGGGAGGTGGGGTAGAAGAGCGAAGAGCGAGTTGGGGCAATGGGCGAGGTGGGGATAGGGATGGTAGTGAAGAGGCAGAGAAGCGGTACCACAGAAAGCAAACGGGCATCTGTACGGCACGGGTGGGTGGGTCATTTCAACAGCGTCAGCACAGCGCTCACCGAAGCGGCGATGCCCACGCAAACGTCTCCCACGCGCGGCCGTCGGCCGTGCGGCGCACGACTCGTCCGTCGCCCACGCCCGCGTACGGCCCCCTGCCGTCCAGGTCCCATGCAATACTCTCGGGACCGAACGCTTCGCCCTCGAACCTGCCATGTCACGAAGAACGATGGGTTTTTAGTCTCGTTAACGGCATTGCGTGCAGCCCCCTGCCGTCCAGATCCCACGCCAGGCTCTCGGGCCCGAACGCCTCGCCTTCGAACCTGGCGTGTCACGGAGAACGATGGGGTATGTGTTGTAGTTGAAAGTTTATGGGCGACTGAGAAGGCATTGCGTGCGCCCCCCTGCCGTCCACGACCCACGCCATACTCTCGGGACCGCACGCCTCGCACGTCGTACGTGCCACGTCACGGGGAGCGATGGGTGCAGCCAGACCAGCAGAAGGTACACAATAAAGCATTGCGGTAAGGAGAGCGGTGATGGCCTTACATGATCTCGGCATCAGCGAGCCGATTAAGAGGGTCCTTGACGGAGCGCGGTGGTGGCGGCGCGATGTCGATGACGACCGGGTCGAACGGGAGGTGCGCCACGGGGCTCAGGCGCAGCGGATCAGCCAATAAGAGTGCGAGAATCGTCGCCGCGACGAGCGCAGGAAGCGCGACGCGCCAGTGGAAGGTCGATGCGATTTGGGCCTTGCCGCTCGTCGACTGTTCAGCTCTCGAGTAGTTCTCGGATCTAAATCTGTAGTGCTCGGTTCTAAAGTGGTGGTCGTTTTTAGCTCGGTGCTCCTGGTCGGTCAGCTGTGCTTTCTGATCCATGGCTGCCGTGCCCTCATTACTCCCCATTCGCGGTAGAGAAGCGATCCTTGATTCTTGAAACTGTGGGGTGGCCCGAAATTGCGCCGTAAACGATATTATGTTGTTGGGAGCGCGCAATCTTGTGTTATCTGGCAACGCTGGCAGGGAGCTACGCGCCACCAAAAAGGTTCAAACCATGCGAGCAACACCAGTCAGTAAACACACAGCAGCTTCTGAGAATTCTCATAAGGTGCTCTAATCATAGGAGCAATCGCAGCCAGCAAGCAGATAGCAGCTCTTTCTACTAAATGAGTAGCCGTGCAGCTGAATAGCTGATTCTTCCGGCTCTGATGAAATGAAGGTGTCTGGGAAATAGTAGTGGAAAGTAGTGAGGTCAGCGTGCTGTGCAGGTGGGTGGATAGGCAGCTCAAGCTTGCCTGAGATGCGCTGCCTGGCTTTCACAACAAGCGTTTTTGTGAGTCAGCTTTGGTCGATGTTATACCGCCCGAAACCACTCGAAATCGTTTTGAATCAGACTTCGCCGTGCTAACCCTATAGGCTCTCAACTGTGGCCCCTGAAACTGCAAATCAACCCATCTCTTTCAGTTGTGGGCACTGGGCAGACCGTGAAAGAGCGAGAAAGTTGCTGGAGGCAGGAATTGGCGAGAAAGATGCGGCCGAGAATCTGGGAGAGGTGTGGTGTACAGTATAAACTGTAACTGGGCGCGAGGGTCGAATTGAATGGTTATTGCCTTCCCAAATAAAACCTGTGCCGCGTCGCAAGAGCCCTCTGACGCTGAACCTGACCGGGAAAAGTAACTCTGACACACACGCGCCCAGATTGACCAATGAGGTGAGGGTGCTTACCTGCATTTTTTCAACAGCGTCTCGGGAAAGGGAACTACACTGTACCGCAGATGAAAGTGGAAGTACCGGATCGTAACGAAGCTGAGTGACTTGAAACTAAATTCTACAAAGAAAAATAATAACAAACCCCACTGCCATTTTCATATACATCCTCCAAAATGGGTAGGAAATACTTCATACAGGAAGACCATCACATATACTAGTATCAGGTACGACCTCGAATCTTACGCGCCTACCGCTTGTTGCCAAACGCCCCACTAAAGGCACCACTAAAAGTACTCGCAGCAGTTGCACCTCCCCCTCCAGCCGCCCCTCCACCCCCAGCCGCTCCAGGCTTTGCCGACCCGCTCGCAGTAGACGCCGAGCCAAGCAACCCACCACCAAACAGATTCTTATTCTGCCCGGAAGTCTCAAACCCGAACAAATTCTTCCCAACGTATTTCCCCAGGTCCTCGATTTTCCCAACCCAGCGGTCGCGGCGTATGGCCTCTAGAGCGTCTTTGCTGCTGGTGGAGAGGAGCTCGGGCTCCTTGAGCAGCGCCTGCACTGCCGGGAGGAACAGCGTGTTGGTCTGCTGTGGTGTCATCTCTGTAAGGGTGTGGATGGGTGGGGGGGGGTTGAGAGGGATGAGCATTGGAGAAGAGCTCTGGCTCCTTTAGATCGGGCTCCTTGAGGAGCGCCTGCACTGCTGGGAGGAACAGCGTGTTGGTCTGCTGTGGGTCATCTCTGCAGCACGCTTGGTTGGAGAGGGTGTGGATGGGTGGAGGGAGGTAGAAAGGGATGAACATGGGTATTGAATGAATGGAGGGCAGAGGAGGTTCCTATGATCCCTGGGAGCTGCAACTGTTGTGTGCATGAACGGCAAGAATTAACCTGTACCCGTGCGCTCACTGAATACCTGTGTTCGCAGCATGACCCCACTGCATCAATGTGTTCACAGCCTGGCGTCAACCCACAGCAAGCAAGTGCTAACAGTATCACCCCACTCTACCTGTGTGCTCCAGCGCTCGCAGAGCAGAGCAGAGCGCCTCAGCCTTCTCCCTGCGCTTGGCAACGGTGCCATTAGCGAGCAGCGGGCCGGTGGCCATGCTAGCAACCTTCTGCAGCGAGTACTCTCTCAGCATACTGGAGGTGACTGGCACGGCAGCACCAGCTTGCAGACGTCATCCAGGCAGACGAGACAGTTCCCAAGTGCTAACGCATCACCCCAGTGTACCTGTGTGCTCCAGCGCGCGCAGAGCAGAGCAGAGCGCCTCAGCCTTCTCCCTGCGCTTGGCAACGGTGCCATTAGCAAGCAGAGGGCCAGTGGCCATGCTGGCGACCTTCTGCAGCGAGTACTCCCTCAATGTGCTGGAGGTCACAGGCACGGCGGCTGTGAGCGTCTTGAGCACCGCCACCACCGCCTCGTGTGACCCCTCCTCCAGGAACGAGTCCAGCTGCACCCGGATCTTGTCCACTATCTGATGAGATGGATGCATGGGGGCATGTGGGCATGGAATGGGCACAGGAGGATAGCACGCATGGACACATGGACGCACGTCAGTAGTGAGCGTCTTGAGAGTCCAGCTGCACTCGGATCTTGTCCACTATCTGATGGGATGGGCATGGGGAGGCACAAATGCATGGGTACATGGGGACATGCACACACGGATACAGAGCAAGGTGACTTGTGCTTTGACTCAAAGGCTAATGAGCCTAGCTCCACCTCACTCTATCCACGAATGCTGCTCACCGGGGCGTCCTTGAACTGCTGGGCCACGGAGCCCAGAGCAGCGATGGTGGAGTGCTTGACCTCAGGCACAGGGTCTGATCCCAACGTGATCAGTGCCGGTAGCACCTGCTGGCTCACCCGCTTCACGTCCACGAAGGGTGCCTGTAGTGCAACGTGGTTCGGGATGGTGCAGAGTGGTGTGGAGGGAGGTGAGGGAGTGGGGAGATAGATGGGCAGAGGTCAGATCAGTTCACGAAGAGCTGGCTGCATGTTCACAAAGAAAGCAAGCAAGAGAACAAGAGAGCGGTGAGCAACAGAAGAAAAGAGAAAGCAAGTCAATCACGAGGGTCTGGAAGATGACGGCAGCGGTGATGCGCACTGCTGGCGCCTGGTTGACCACCAGCTCCCACCCCACACTGCTCAACGTCTCCCTGTGCTCCTCGAATAGACTGCGGGGGTATGGGTGGGGGGAGAGACAGGAGGGGGGAAAGAGGGATGGAGAATTGAGGAGACATGGGGCGGAGGGAGGGAGGAACAAGTACAAGATGGTGCGAGTAAAAGGTTGTGCATTCATTCAATTCACAAGCTTGTGCATTCATAAGCTTGTGATATAAGTTTCGTATGTGAGTAAATGGAGGATGCACCCATCCTTGGGATGAGGTTCCTTTGGATATGGGAAAGGTCGTGTGCGGCAAGGAGGGATGGTATGCCACAGGAGCGCAATGAAAGAATAGCACTCATCAAAGGAAGACGTTTGAGTCGACTCCAATCTCACCAGAGGAAGCGGACGGCGTCAATCAGCTCAGGTGTGGATGCAGGAGACCAGGCGCCAGAGCGCGCACAGGTGGACACGACCCACTCGCGCAGGTACTTGAAGAGATAGCCCTCTCGCATGTTGGGTGAACCCAGCACACCCGCCAGCAGCAGCGGCAGCACACACATGCGGGACAGCCGCTCCAGAGGGGGGCCGGCTGGGCGCAGCACTGCGCATGTGGGGAATGGGAAGGTGTGGGGGAGGGGCAGGGCAGGGGCAGGGTGAGAACAGGTTGCATGGCCGGCAGCAGCGGCAGCAGCATGCTGCATGCACCCGCCAAACAGGCGCTCGGCAATTTATTGACGCGTGCTTGAATCTCGAGGAACGAGCAGGTGCCTGCTGTGAGCGCCTGCATGCACCTGAACAGGACCTCACGCTGCCCGTACCTTCAATGGAGGATGCGATCTTGGGAGGGAGGTGGGAGGTGTCGATGGAGTGGCCAGCAGCGGTGAGGAAGACTGGCAGCAGCACTGCCATGAGGTAGAAACGCCCGAATAGCTTGCTCACCGTCAGCAGCAGCTGTTCAGGCATTTGGACGGAATGGCATGGGCAGGGAGACAGAGAAAGAGGGTTCCAAAGAGCTTTGAAGTGGAGATGTGAAAAAGGAGAGGAGAAGGAGGAAGACGGGCAGCAGCATACAGCCAGAGGAGAAGAGAGAGCAAGGAACACGAACGTGCATCTCCTGTAAAGCCACCGCTAGTGAGAGGAACACGCACCGTGCAGATGCGGACGCGCAGGCGCTCCTCCTTGGGTGGCAGCATGAGCGCCAGCTGCACAAGCGTGGGCAGGCAGTCCATTGGCATCCAGTCGAAGGCCGGCCAGTCCACCCCCGCACTGCCAGAGGGGGGAAAAGGAGGCGAGGAGAGGATGTTCGGAAGCAGGGAGAAACAGTGGGAGGTGGGTAAGTGAGAGCACTGCAAGAGGAAAGCTGCACAGCGGTAGGCAGGGAGTCTATATATATCCACACAAAATGCCAGCCATTCCACCCGACCCTTACACAAGCACTGCCAAAAGGGGAAGCAGAGTCAAACAGGAGTACTGGGAACCATGACGCAGCGGCGGGAAGCAGGAAGCAGCAGTATGAGCAGGAATAAACCCACCCATTACAGCATGACCCACCTGCCGTATCGCTTCAGCAGAGCATCAGTGAAGAAGGTCTCCTCGTACTCTATCCCACCCAAGGAAGCTGCCGACGGAAGCCGCCCACTCCCACTCCTCTGCCCCAACGCCGCATCCGACCCCTCTCCACCTGCCCCTCCCTCTGACCCTGCACCCCCATCACCCCCACCACCAGCAGCACCACCCCCAGCAGCCGTATCAGCTGTGGCAGCAGGAGCAGGCTTGTCGAGGACGAGGATAGCTTCGGGGCAGGTCTTCACAGCCACGTGCCGAACCTCTGGGAGAAGCTCGGTGAGCAGCCGAAGCAGCACGTCGATGTTCCACCGCTCCCGCTCCCCCACCATGCGCAGCCGAGCCTCCGCCGAACCTTCCACTGCGGACACAGCAGGGCATTTCTGGAGGTTTGGGGGTGGGAGGGTGAGGTGGGGGAAGGACAGGGCGGAATGAGGGAACCCTATAATGCTTTCCTCTTATGAGTCATCCCAAAACACTCTCCTCTCCTGACCCCCTTCCACTCACCTTGATGTACACCATGAG